GTCTTGTTGGTTATGATTGTGTCTTCGGAATATGTTTATATTGCGCTTGCTTTGTTAGTATTTGGTAGATGGGCTAGCTGTTGCTACCCTGGACGTATAATAGACACTTCAAAAACAAACATATGCAGCCTGTGATTAAGTGATTTTGGTGGGATTGTGTTCCATAGCCCGGTAAAACTTGAAATTTAATTACCCATCGTGCAACGGGCGTCGTGTATCAAGATTTCCGGAGCATCCATCCCAAATCCAGACACCCAAGCAGTTCGCCTGTGATCCTTCCAAAGCACCGAACGCAAAAGAGAACCCACACGAACGGTCCGTCAGCCACTCACGATCAAGTTACAGCGGCACGGCACGCAAGCCCTTCCATGCAATGGTTAACGTGATATTGCCCGAGATAAAAAATTATGAATGTGTCGTTCGATGTGGTTCACTTGTCAAGGGGGTATCCCTCCCCCAGACGTTCGCAAATGCGGCAGGCGGACAGTGACAAGCCGGGAGAGCCTGGTCTCGCGTGGCTGAATACCACTCATGTCGACGCGTTATGTGCCTGGTGCCTGACTACTGCCGTTGTAAGAACATGGGTTTATTGCTTTTCGAGTGGGTAAGGGTGTGGGTAAGGAGGGTGCAGGGCCCGAGTGTCAAGATCAGGGACGCAGCGCAATGTTGTGCAACGCGACGGTGTTGGGTGTGGTAGTATAGGCTGATTGCGGATTGGTTTGGTGGTAGCGGACGTTGGCGTTGGCGTCAACTGGTTGGGGTCCACAAACTGTTGTGGCACGCGAGACGAGGTACGCGCGGAAAGCCAAACCGAACTCGTAAATCGGTGCTAGTCTGACAGAAGCCCCCCTAGAGCTGAAAAATATTCCCCGAAGTTGCAGCGATGGAGCTTGGAGGGTAAGATGACAGCATGCGGGATTAGCCTAGTTGCTTTGACAAAACTAATACAAACCTCGTGGGCATGAAGATGACATGTATCCCATCCCTTCGCGCTGACTCCCAAGGCTTTTTGGCGTCGTGTGAAACATGTTATCCTCCGTCTTAAATTCCGTCTTCTCTACGTATAAGTCTTTTTCCTTCGGCAACTTCCACCGTCGTTGCATACCAAGGTAGCATTCCCATGCATCGAACGATTCCGCGGCCCCGACACCACCACACCACACCGCACCAAACCAAGAGAAGAACCGAACTCCCAAGATCTCTAGCTAACTAACCGAACCAAACCTAATACTACTACTAGCTCCCTCGGACAATCAAAGTCAGCCAGTCACAGTACTAAAGCCACAAGATCACGCTAACACACCTGTTTGTTAACGTTCGGCGAGAACATCACAGACCGTTGGCACTTAGCACCGCACCGTTGAAATCACTATTCTTGTTTCTAGTTTTAGCTTGTCTTTGCACTTATACGTGACTAACCATTTTGTTCTTTATGCGCGTCAAGCCGTTGACGAGGCTGGTGTGGTTGGTTCGTGAGCTAAGAGCTAGTTAGTCTTATTAGGTTATTGCGGGGCGCAAGCTTCGTCTACCAGAAGAGGAACGTTCTCGACCTGACGAGAGATGAAGATTGCCGCCCCATTTCCCAAACCTTGCGTACTAGACATGTGGGAAGCAGGCAATATTAGTAAAACTAAAACCGAGAGCTGCGGGGAGTTTGCAGGATGCGAACACGACGTCACAAAGGGCACGCGACAGGATATGCTTTCAAGTTTGGCGCCTAGTCGTAGCCGTCAAGTGCTTAAAGGCCGAGGAAGTGGAGAAGAGATGCATGAATGGCTACCGAACTAGTATGTTACCCCGACTCCGATGTTTACGCGCGTTACAGCTTATGATCGGCTTCTTGTAAGGAGATAAGGATTTTCGATTCTTAGACCAACAGTAAGATTCCAAATAGGCACAGATCGTACGTCGACTCCGTAGATGTAGGCAAAGAATGCAATGTTCAAGTCTCTCGTCCTGTGCATAAAGTCCTTGCGAAGCTAGAATGAATTCAACGCTAACCTAAATTCCTCCCATATGTCCCCCCTTGTCATTCACTCACTCCACTGTACAGGACTGTGCTATGGTATCTCAGTCGCGCTCACTACACGTGCGCGATTGCCACCGCCCATCTTTCTTGATTTCATAAGATTCTGCCTGTCCTGCTCTTGCGTCAGTCTCGATCTTTCCAAGTCTGTCTCATGCACAATTAACCCATCGATGATGCTGTACTTACTAATATCCGGGTCATCGTCATCGTCGTCTTCATCTTGTACTAACGGACGATTAGGGCGCAACTTGGCGAGGTTCCTATCGCCGTTGATGTGAGAGTGAGTCCACGAGTTCCATCCCGCGCCGTGCTTTGTGCTTTGAACCGCTATAGTGCTCTCAGTATCTGAAAGGTCGGCCAGCATCCCCACATTCTCTGCAGTGATGCCTCGGTCTTCTGTGTTGTTAGGAGCGGGTGTGATGGACATGCTCCTCATGCTGCCTCTAACTTGCTCAACTACGCCAGTTTCAGGTGCTTCGTATCCATTTGCTTCGTCAACGGCGATGTCGTTACGAATTCTCAATTCGGTTTCGCTGAGTTGGGATATCTTCGCTGAGGCGTCAAGTTTGGCTTTGCGAGGGGACCGTGAGACTGGCACTGCTCGTGTGGTGGCTATGGGCTTTGATGGCGTCTTTGACGCAGGTGCCGGTGCGGTTGGTGGAGACAACTGAGACTTCATGATAGATGCGTGCTGTGGTTGATTTGGCAACGAGAGTGCTGCTTGATTGTCGACCTCAGGTTTCGGTCTTGACGTGGGCTGGAAGCCGTACCCGTTCTTGCCTTTGCTGAACACGCTTTTTGAGGCTATGGCCGCCGGCGGCGGTGGAGGAAACTTGGTCTTCTTTGTCACTGGCCCAAATCTCTCCGCATTACCCTTCACGCTCTTGTACAACTCCTCTATAACAATGGAAGACCTAGGCTCATCGTCTTCAGATGGCGGAGTATAGTCACTCTCATCGCTACTTACGTCGATTGCCTTTCGCTTTCGTCTACCCGAGCGCAAAGATGAGACAGAAGTTCGAGGTGTAGCTGACAAGTCACATTGACTCTGTGTTGTGCTGGAGGCACGATACGTTGAAGCTGAAGCTTGTGAGCCAGCACGCACATTTCTAGCAGCCGGCATGCTGTCCTTCGTGACGCTGGCTGGAAAGTCAGGTCTTCTGAAGCTTGTGTTCTTAGGAGCCATGGAACTTTGAGGTAGTGCGTCGGGAGTGTGAGAGGACCGTCCAGGTGGTGGAGGCATATTGGGGATGTACTGTTGTGGCCTTGGTGGAGCTATGCGATTATCAGCTACAGAATGAGACGTGGAGCAAAGTACAACTTACTTCGGGGAGGTTCATGCATCAACGTATCTTCAGCACTTGGCCCCAGTGGCTGGGAAATAGGTTTGCCCTTGTGCTCATCTTGTGAATGTGCATCTGAGCCCTTCAAAGTGTCGGCTTCATCCAGCGGAAGCCTGTGGAATGCCGACTCTTGAGGCATCAGTGACTGGCCTTGTCTGTAGTCCACGCTTTGCTGCGATCGCAAACTGCCAGACTGGTGATGTAGAGGAGATCTTGATGGAGCCAAGCCGCTCGACAATTGTACGCCCTCTGAAGCAGAAATCGTGGGAGTAGCCCATGTAGAAACGGCTGAAAATGTACATGCAGAAGTGCTATCCAAAGTTCCCGAGGCTGGAGCTCCGAATATCCAAGCACTGCCTTGAAGAGACTTTTGCGTCTGAGTAGCTGGCATGTGCAACGGGTTCGCTGAAACCCAACGACCAAAGCCACCCCCTTTAGGTATTGAGCCGTGCTGTGTCGAAAGAGCAGCGATCGAAGCATCATGTGAAGCAATGGGCGAGGGGTTAACTAGAGTTGGGGGTTGAGAAGCGGAGAGATCTTGTTCGCGCTTGAATAGCGATGGCTGTGGCGTGCCCTTGACAGATTAGTATCGTTCTTAAATGTCTTCACTATTTGCGAAGTTACCTGTTTTGCGCTTTTGCCAAACAACTCGAGACTCGCAGACGGAATAGCATGCTCTCGCCTTACAGCTGTCTCGATAATATCGCTCTTTTGGGATTCCAATATCGGGTCTTTCGCAATTGGTGGCGGGCCCAGCTTCTTCTGTTCCTTTACCGGTTCATCGTCGTCGGAACAAAGATCAATAATTGTGACTGCAGCACTTCTCTTCTTGCTTTGACGTGCTTGGGTCTTTGTGTTATATGCTGGCGTAGGTGTAGAAGTCTGAGGCGCTTTCGAGGTCACCGCCTGCGTCCGTTTGGGTTCAGGAGCAGCCTTTCGAGTTGGTGGTGCAGCTTCCTGACGATTGTTTCGACCTTGAGTCCCCGTCTTAGACGCTGCAGACCTGTTTGCACTCTTGCTCTTGTCTTTACTTGCCGCCCGCGCCTTAGTCCAAAATTCTTCTTCCTCCTTCTTGTGTTTGGCAAAAAGGTCCGCTTCTGCCTTCTTTATATTCTGTTGGACTCTCTCGTACGCTTGCTTAGACTTTTGTTGGAAATCATATAGTTCGGCATAGTGTTTTTGTCGAAGGGCGAACCACAGTTCCTCAGATGGCTCGACATTGGTCTGTATCGGTGGCATGCTGAGAGCTTTAGTACGTCGTAACTGAGGTAGAGATGCTCGGTAAAGGTGAGGGAAGAGATTTTGTCACACCCAGAAGATGGTATCTAACTAGAGTGGTGATACTTCAAGTGGGGTGAAGACGGGGTGAAGGTGAGTAAGGTATTTGCACTTTTGAAATGAAAAGCAGGTAAAGGCAGAATTTCTAGTGAGCATAGATTGAAAAATGCGCAGGCAAAGGTCAGACAGGTTCTCTGTTCATTCAGGTATAGTGTATTGAGGAAAAATAAACAGACTGAGACACAAACAACAAGCAACCGCCCTTCCTCAAGCAGCTATCCGCAACCGAGGGTGCGATGTAGAAAGGGAGCTCTTTCGCGATATAAACTTGATCGTGAACTGCTGAACCCATTGTGTGTGTGTATACCCCGACGCCCAGTTCTGTGACATGAATCATCTGATTCTCCACGAAAACGATCCAGACATGTCTTCGTAGCTCTGCATGTAGGCACTATTTGTGTGCTCGCATGCCTGGTACGTAGACCTCCAGCTGGGTCAATCTATTGTGCCTTGTACGTCATTGTCTCAGATCAGATATGCTTCGCAGCGCAGCATTTCTGATCTGAGACATTTGAGCATCAGGCTCGAGAAGACGGCTCGCGTTACCTCTGTTGAAAGCTATCGGGGTCGCGGCAGTTCGAGCTTGCGTTCGCGCCATCCGCTTTGTCTCGAAGTAGAAGCCGAGCCCAATGGTTGTCTCCAAACTTGAGTTGGTAATTTGGCGTTGCCTCCTATTCCTTCATAGATACTTCTTCGCCGCTGTCGCAACCCTCTGCCTGAATACTGGACTCTTGATGACCTCCCCATTGCCGACGGCAAAGAACGGGTTCATGATAGTCTTGACCCACGCCTCATATACGTCGACCATGAAGTTCTTGACGGCCTCTTCCGTGGCTGGACTACTAGGATTGTACAGACCAGCTCCTCCTCCCAGTGCAGCCCTTCCGCCTGCAAGACTCCCTCTCGCGCCTCCAGCACCTCCGCTGGTCAGTCCGAGACTTTCATCCCGTGGCCGTGTAAGCAGAAGGAAGCGCGTATTGCCACCGGTAATCCAACACGATACAAAGCAGTTCTGATATTTGTCGATGTGTTTGAGGTACATGGGTGCTGAGCCGCTGGAGGTAGAAGGACCCCATTGCACTTCTTCGACGATGTCTAGTGACGAGTGTAGGATGAATGGGACGAGAGCGCGCTCAGCAGGTGTGTAGTTCGCAACGCCAGTGCCGCCGCTGCGTGAGGTGCCGAAGTCGTGCGTAAAAAGAGGGACATCGAGGGGCGATAGGATGGAGAATGTGTACGACATGGTGTGGTGTTAGGGTGGAGGTTGGTGTGCGTAGGGAGTGCTGGGCATGCGTGGTGTGAGAAGAGCCGACGATGGGTGACTCAATCGGCGATAGTCTTCTTGGCTCCTACGAACGTCCGGGAAGAAGTCACGGGAAGTCGTAGTTTGTATGGTCGCGAGTTTGTGTTTAGGGTTTAGCTATGCAACGTGTGGGGTGTTGATGAGCTTCCCCACGCTAATCGGCATATCCGCCAAGAAAGTCCGCGGGAGTGTCTTTGGAAGAATATCGCGACTTCAATTGCGGCCGTCCAGCACTGCCAACCACAACACATCACCATGTTTGGTCCTTTCCGCCTCACAAACCCGCTATCGGGAGGCCTGTTATGGTGCGACTCCCTGCATTTCCCTGGATACCTGTTTGCGCAGTTGCTCGTTTTCGCCGTCACGTTTTCAACGCCTATGCATTCTTTACTGTCGCCAGCTCGCTATCTGGACATGAATACTGACAAGACTACAGGAAAATACCATGGCGCCTCTCTAGACACCAGAAGTACAGACATCGCGAGCGTTTACGACACGTCGACTCCGTGGTCGGCACACTCGATACCGCACTACGACGCATGGGGCAGAGCATGAAGAAGGTGGAACGCTGGAAGATGGAGATGCCGACTGAGCAGGAGATGCTGCCCAAGGATAAATACACCGTCTTCGACCGCAAAGTGAAGAGGTATCGGAAGGGAATCCACAGTAAGTCGCATACTGTCAGCGCACGAGAATCCGCCTTTTTTATAGCGAAAAGAGCGTACAAAAATCTGGCATCGATATGGTGGCTGACGTTTCGTAGAGGTGCCAAAGTGGACAAGGGTCAGCCAACGACTCAATCCTCCGGGTTTTTAGACGGATCCTACGGCGAGCGACGGTCGCGCGTGTGTATACCATGTATTATCATACAATTTGCATCAGATACGGCGCCATGGAAAGAAAGCAACGAATACTCCCTAAATATGCACTGAGAATTGCATGCGCCTTGAGTGCAAACAGATACTTGCATTGAAATTCGCCGACAGAAGGCTGCTTATTAAAACAATTACCGTGGCTGTCCTCTACTTGGTAGGAAGCTGCGGTGGGAGTTAGCCGTGACGTTCATGTTTGACAATCAGCGGGCAAGCAAATGATGCTCTATGCGACAGGATCCCATGACTTTGGCGACGTCAACGACTTGTACATCATTTTGCACATGTATTGCCCATGCACGCTACCGCGAATGTTCACAGAGACCATCAACCTGCTGAACTGAGACCAGTACACTCTCAATTACTAAGCGTCGTGCTATATAGTACATGTCTTTTTATCCCCAGATAACGATACTTATCAGCCTAAAACAACATTCCGAGTTCATTGGAGTCAAAGCCCATACCCTCGAACCCAAGACCCTGAGCATTCCATCCCATATCAAGAGGCAAGAAGCCATTCCACAAGGCTGCATCATCCGTAGGCGCATTACCCCCACCACCGTGTACTGCAAATTCATTAACAGCCCCTAGATCAGTCCATCCGAAATCTCCCATTTGCTCCGTAAGCGCCGGACTCTCACCCGTGCCATTGCTACTTGCCTGTGGGCTGGCGCCAACGATCGGATGCTGTGGAAAGCCATTCTGGTCAACAGGATTACTAGCGATATGCGTGCCAGGATGGCGGAACGAAGAGCGACTAGCCTTGTCTTTCTTTGGCACTTTTGCCCAGAGCAGTTTGAGGAGCTGAGAGTACCGGGAGCCTGGATGCTGGATACCAGCTCCAACCCCGACAGCGCTACGTTCGAGGCGTGCGACTGTTTCGTTGATCATGGCGCGGATGGCGCGATCTTCATCGGCGCTGATGACGCCTGTACAGCGAGCGCGATAGAGGAAGACACCTGCGTATACGAGGTAGAGATAGTACCTCAATGGCATGAAACGTAGCGAACGCTCGGGATCGACAAAGTTGTTCACGGTAGTGAGAATGGCTTTTGCGGCGTCAAGGCCTTCGTAGATGAAACGCGCATCGCCTACTGCGCCTACGTTGTTTACAAAGACGCGTTGGGGAACTTGCATACGACCTGTTGTGTTGTTGGCTGGAGCGCCGGCTACGGGGTCGGTTGATGTAGATGAAGAGGGCAATGCTCGGAGGACGGTGGCCTGAAAGGCGAAGGCGTTGGTGTATAAACGCAGGTAGTCGTACGACATAAGAAGACATGCTTTGAGCGGCGGAGAGCACGTCAGTGTACCCCATACACTCTTCCAGCCGTATATTGCAGAGCGGAAATCATCAATAAACTTGATGTAGCTACCACTCATCTGCGATCGAAAGCTCGAACTGGGATTCGAGTACAAAGTATCGTGTACATTGCTGAATAGTTGTGTGAGTTCGAGGTTCGCTTGAAAGATGGAAGCATGGTCTTCTTCGTTGGGGCTTTTGGGTATTAGCGACGGATAGTCCTCTCTGCGTAATGTTGTCAAAGGTCCAGGTCCACGAGACCAGAAAGCTTTCCCGATTCTGATGCTGATATGGCGATCTGACACATACGCCGCTGTCCAAATGAGGCGTTTGCGGTGATGATCTGGATCCTTGCCCTGGTCCACAAAGCGGAACGAGTACCGGTCTAGAGCAAGAAAGTAGGCAATCCTCAGGGCGAGACCAACATGCATCCAGCTCTCCTTATCTTCCTCTCCTTTACCGACCTTGCCAGAGCCACGCTGTGTATACGGCGCCCACTCAGCTAGCAGAAGTAGGGCCTCTACAGCTTCGATACCCGCATCGCCTCCTGCTGCCAGCATTGAGACAAGGCTCTTCATATGTTCTGAGCAAGCTTCGTAGATGTGTGGTTCATCTACGAGGTCTTTGGAAGCGATGAGCAGGATAGCCGTGAGGAGGTGTTTCTCATTGTTCACCATGTGTGAGAGGTTGGATGTTTCGAATGCGTGCGCCGGTGCAAGCGGGTAATATGGATGGTATTGCTGTTGAAAGCGAACGAGCAGCTGGCATAGAGAGTGAACTGTGAGAATCCCCCGGTCTAGCAACGGGTACGAGAAGGACAGTGGCGCGGGCATGCTGAGAGAGGAGCCTCGCACATGTCCTATGCTGCTGGTGATTCCACTCCCATTATTTTCTTCATTCGAGCTCGACTCTCCAGCAACTCTAGCCAGTATGCCCAGCGCATCTGACGGGTTCTGCAGATTTGAGAACGGAAGCTCATCTGTGTTAGAAGAGTCGGAACGCGATGCTTGTAGCTCTTCGCCAAACGGTTGTACGCCTGGGTCTTGCGACCATGTCGTTCCGAGATTGCCCAGCGTATGGAAGCTTCCCTCGGGCGCAGTCGCAGTAAGCGCAGGTAGTGGCTGCTGCGTTTGCGCTTCTGACTGCGATTGTGATTCATCGACGCGTTTCTTTTTTCGCTCGCGCCGTCCACCGCGATTGCTGCCACCAAGCACGCATTCGAGGTTGTCGCGCTTGCATCGAAGGCACGGTATGGAGTTGTCCGAGTCTCTACAAAGCCACGTTAGAAGACATTTACAAGACACAAGGATTCAGACATGTTCATGCGTCGCATGTCGCATTGTGATCCGCTGCATGTCGCGTTCGAAAATGCTCACGCGCAAACTTCAGTCCCCAAGCGAGCTCCAAATCGCCGACGCGCGCAGACAAACAAGACGCCGTCAATCACTTACAGCAAACACCGACTCTTCCGCTTCCTGCAATTCAAACACGCGATTTGTGTCCTTTTGATCTTTGAAGCTTCATCTTCATCCTGGTTGGCGGCCTGCTTTGCGCCGGCAGGCTGTTGTGGGGCATTTGTTTCCATGCCTCATCTCGAAGCAATGGGTGGTGTCGGTGTTTGAAGCTGTCGGTCGGGAATTGTGGGCACTTGAGAAAACGCGGGGGCGGTAACGTTGGCATCGGGTATTGCTTACGTCGGGCCGAAGACACGAGCGCACTTTTCAAGGTTGTTCCAAGCAGAGTCACAGCAGGAATGTATCATGGCCCAGACGATCCTCAAAGGCGTGGGCGGATGTGATCGTCATGGTATTTGATGTCATTTTGGGGATCTCGTCGGTCGGGTAAAGCTATGGATGGGATTGTGCGGTGCCAGCCCCTGACCCAACCACATCTGCTCAGTGACATGTATTTCCCCACCTCGACCGTAAAATCCTTCAATTTTTGACCCGACCGTCAACATTGACACCATTGATGTCGCGTGAGCATTTGCAGATTTTCGAACCATGCTGTCGTGTGAAACTTCTCACATCAAGTATATATTGTACGGTTTCGTCCCATCATTCATCAAACAGGGCTCGTTGGTGTAGTTGGTTATCACGTCAGTCTAACAGAGCGCTTCACAGCACTCCTTAGCACACTGAAGGTCCGGAGTTCAAACCTCCGATGAGTCATTCATCGGCGTTCGCAAGAGCGCATCCCTCCTTTTTTTGATCTTTGCTGTGCTGCGGACACTTACCAGATCGAGGGAACACTTATCGAATCAAAACCTGAACGTTCATGATGCTAGTTGCGAGGCGGTGTAGTCTTTTTTTGCCATGTTCGGCCGGTTGCGGGAACATCACCACCAAGTGTGCTCCGGGGAGACATGAGCAGGAATGATACCTAGGTAGCTTCTGAAAGTCAGGAACTACAAGATTTGCTGACACAAGGCTATCGAGGGCAATATTCGCTACATGTGCAACCTTTATGTGGCGTATGAGACTTTCGACACAAAAAGGGTTATCATAGGTCGACCGACGGTTTTGCTCAGGTCAGCAAATCATGGCTGTGAACTTTGGACTACTCTGCTAGCCAGCACTTGATGTGCCCATAGGCGATACTCTCACCACTCAGGCTACATCGATTCTTGTGGAACCAAGCTTTTTGCATCACTGACCATGCTGTAAGTCGGGCTAAGCCCTACGACAGCGGTCCACCAACGATTCATGTAACGTCTCCACCCTGGTACCTTTCAGTCAGTTGGATCGCAACACGGATGCACGTCTTGCGCCAGACCGATTATATGCGGCTCAACGTCATCTAGCCACGTAGAGCTTTGAACCAAAGCTATGGCTAGGGAGTGCCTGCCAAGCTGCGCTCATGCTCAGCGGGTGCACGCACCTGGTATGACCTCACAACAACACTGTGTACAAATCTCAACCTATGTGACATACTATCGCCATTGCAATAGAACAAGATGATCTTAGAACGACGTGGAACGGCTTTGGAAGATCTCGTCATCACCGGATGTTGCACTCAGCAGAGTACGGCTCTACTCGGCTTGGTGCGGCAGTAGGTGACACTATAGGGATAACCTTGTGGAATACTCGAAAACACCCGGTGGTAATGAATTGGTAGGCGATCAAAGTAAGTAGCCGGGTGAGTAATAAGTCTGCAAGCAATTGCTAATCACTCACGTCCGAGTTGTCATCTACATCGCTGTTGGATGAACCGACTCGTCTACTATCACTGCTTAGTAGATGTATGCAATACCATGGCCTTATAGTCTCCTTAGATCTATCTCAGACACATTTCGTTGTCAATTTCCCGTATATCTGTATAATCAACATCGTTCTATCAACAGAAACACAAACCAACCAGCTACTTCAACAGAAGGTACGATTGAGTGAACTTTCAAAAGGTATCGACCCTTCTCTGATACAACCGACCATAGACCATGGCTTCCGACCCTCTACCGCGACTACATCGCTTCATCGAGTTCATCAATTCAGGCAACACAGACATCGGCAAAGAAGTCATATCAGACTCGGCTATCTTCCATGTACCATTCGGTCCTGAACCCCTCAAAGGTTTAGACGGCTATCTCAGAGTTCTCGGGATGATGCGTGGCGCATTCCCAGATATCAACTGGACACTACAAGAAACTGTATGCGAAGGTGATAAGATAGTTGCACGTTTTGAAACCCGGGGCACGCACCAGGGTCCTTTCATGGGTGTCCCCGCATCTGGAAAGGATATATGTATGACTGCTCTCAACATCTACCGTTTTGACAACGGTAAGATCGCGGAGGAGAGGGGACAGCCGGACATTTTTGGGTTAATGGTTCAAATTGGCGCTATCCCTGTGCCAGGGCCTTGACATCCTGTACTCAAGTGCATAGATAAATCATAAATCCACCCATCTCGTTGAGCCTAAAGATATCTTAATTATTTGATACAAGATGCGGTGGTCGTGATATGGAATACTGTGCTGGAGGCAGAAGCAATATCACGATAGCCACAATGTTCAATGGATAGTGATTAGCATCACGCAGCATGGCGGTATTGTAGTGTGAGTAGTGGTATTTCAATATGTACTCTTCGCGACGACATGACCGTCATCGCGGTAGCAAGGAGATTAGTGGTCTGTTATGTAATGCAGCGATAGCATCGCGTGCGCCCCTTCCTTGATGCAAACCCGAATATATGCAAGCAATCTTACTCAAGTTGATCCGATGCAACGAGCTTTTCCCTATCCTGATACGCCAATGCTAAGAAGCAGAAACAAAAGAAACAACAAATGATGGACAAACAACATGCAAGAACTGAACGGTGCTTCGTCATGGAAACTTCATCGCTCATAATTTCATCAAGCTTACGCGACGTAAGCAGGCGGTGCCTCAATCTCGTCATCGTTCTGCCAGAAGCCTCCTGTGGGCGCAGTCTTCGTCCTGGCGTGCGAAGGCCGGCGAGACGACCGGTCCTTTTCCTCTTGAACCTTTCTCGCAATCTCCTGCGCCATCTTTGTCATCCAGGCTTGTTCAAGGATGCCACCGGAGCTGGCCATGACGTCAGCGTTAGGTGGTGAAGAAGTGCGCGGTGGCGAGCATAGAGCTGAGAGCGAGGAGACCTTGTCAAACGACAAGGAGCGTAGGAGTGGCGAGGTGGACTGCTGTGCTTGCCGTAGTTTATTACGCGAAATCGGCGGGCGTCTGGAAGATGAGTGGGATATGAATGGGTCTTCGAGGTGAGCGGCTGGTGGGGTGGTTTGCTTCGATTTGGTGGACTTGGGTGGCTTGGGTGCATCTGAAAGATCTGGTGCAGGGGCAAGAAGAGGGCCAAAAGCAGGCGGCTCTTCAGGTATCCGCTTCGGTGTACCAATGTCCAGACTGCCACGGCGGCTCTCGAAGCGCATGCCAGGTTGTGCGGGGCTCCTTGGTGGGGTAGCCAATTCTTCCTCTGCTTCCCTCTCTTCGGGGATGACGCTTGACGTCTCAGATGCGTACGCACTTGGTAATGGTGTATTGGCTCCAGTTGACACGCCAGAATCAACGTCCTCCTTCTTGCGCAGATCAACAACACGCTTCTTTCGTTTCCGCATGCCACCAGTGCGAGAGCGACTTGAGCCAAGACTGAGCCCCGAAGGAGTCGAGTATGCCGATGCCATGGTAGGTCGTGAGCTGTGTGTATCATTGCCTGTTGAGCCAGACGCAACCGACGACGCGCCAGACTTGAGGCTGCCAAAGGTCGACTGTATCCTCGATAGGCTGCCTTGTGTGAGTGCCGGCGTAGCAGCACCAGACTCGGGTCTGTCTGGGTGACCTGCCCATGCTCTGAAGACGGCATCGCGTATGCCGGGTGTGAAGAGGGATAGCGTTCGTTGCGATTCGGACAAGGCGGCTAGGCGGAGGATGTTCTTCTGGGAGAAGGAGGCGTGGATTTCGCCAGAGTCGAGCGATAAGGCAGAAATTTGGGCTTCGTCTAATGGGTTCCCGAAGGCATCGACAGCATCTTGTGGTGGCGATGCGAGAGGGTCGATGGCTGCGGTTGTATCGTTAGCGCCTTCCAGTCGCTCTTCTGTCTCGATCTCTTGGTACTCGGGCGACAGCATGCGTAGTGATAGCCTATGAATAATAGCCGGCAAGTCCTCCATGAACAAGACACGCAATTGCCCCTCAATCTCCTTCTGCAGGTAGTCACGCACGAATGGGATGGAATCAAATGTCGAAGAGACCTTGAGCGACTCCAAAGGGTCGTTCCTGAAGACCAGCGTCAAGCCCTTTTGTTTGGAGAAGACCAGGATGACAAAGCCGGAGAGGCGGATGTTGGACAGAGTGATTTGCAATGGTATAGTCAAGCCGGACGATGCTGCCAGTGGCTGTGGTGAAGCAAAGTCTGGCTTGTTGGAGAGATACGTCTTCAGCGGGTTTGCCTGAACTTTTGTTTTCAGCGTCAGGAACGCGTCGCCGGCATACGACATCTTGAAGATGCCCCTGAACCTGTCCTCGGCCAAGTCGCCAATCTCTAGTATCTCGAGCTCTGGCGGGGTGGTGCCGAGATTCAGCTCGGTGACGACGATGTCGTCGACGATGATGGGCGGCTTGGGGGATTTGTTCAGGGCGGTGGTGAGCATGTCGCGCGCCCTCGACGTGTCGGCAATGAGCGGCGACCAGTTGAAGTTGAAGGCCATGGTGATGGGTTGGTGCGCTCAGTGAGCGGTGCGTGGAGCGTCGACGTCGTTACCGCGCGGGTGGTGGTGGGGATTGGCAGATGATGCTGCTGTCGCGTGCATTCGCCATGCGATCACACGAGGCACGATTGCAGAGGGGTTGGGGCGTATTTGCGAGGGAATGGGTGGGGAAACAGGTGGGCAGTGAATATTTCGGGCGGTGTGGGCGCGGTATTGTATGGCTGCACTCGTGGTGGAGTGAGAGTGGGAGAGGCACATGCGGCACTCGAGGGGATTTTCCGGGTGAAAGGTACCGACGTCAAGGATGATGCTTCTCGCCTGCCGCCAACTTTTTACACAACCGCACTTCGGCCGTGCGCTTTCCACCACCCACCCTCAGATCGGCTTAGCCTACCTGGACACGACGACTGGCGGTGAAGAGCCTGGAGCCGTTGTATGCAAGTATGCGTTACAGACTAGCTTCCCATGGCCGTTGATTCGCTGCGACGTCTACATTCTCGATCGACAGTTTCAAGAAGCCCTACGCCTAGCCACATGTCAACATAATATGCTTCTATCCGCTGTCGTTTAGCTGTCGTCGACTAATTTCCCCATTATCGCTATAGCCCAGCTACCCCAGCATTCCCGCAACGTCGAGCCGAATGTAGCCAATAATAGCAGAGGCTGCTTGTTTGAATCATCATCCGAGCTTTGGCTGGCAGATCTGCCGTTGGCGCGCGTACATCATCTGTGGTCGTGAAATTTGTTTTCATGCGCATCCGTTGTCGCTATCGTAAAGGGTGGTACACGTGGATGACATGGCAACTGAGACACCTCACTCCTCCCTGTCACGCGCGACATGATACTCGGCCCATTACAACGCTGCATCTTGGTCCTCCTTGAGCAGCTTCTCCACTGCCTCAACTTTATCCTTGAATCCCTGCTTTTTGTCCGTCCTGCTCCCCACCCTGATATCACTCTGGATCCTCACAATGCCATTCTGGTGCAGCATAGCATGGCATTGTCCAATGACCCGCATAACGTCGTCCCATGAGCCCTCTAGTCCCAATTAGTATATGCATTCAAGAATATTCCATATACCCCTCCAAGCCACCACGCCCGCATACCGGCCGAGAAGGGAGTTGGCTCGGACGCGAAAGCATACACGACGTAGAAGGGGGTGTGAAGAGTCATACCAACTGTCGTTCCCGCAGAATGCATGGAATAAGTTAATCCGCTCCTCTTGAGAACCCGCTGCACTTCCGCTACCTCTTTGGATACAGATGCTGTGGGAGTGCCGAGCGGAATCAGACAAAAGTCTGCGATGCATGATGGTGGGGTTGCCAAACTTGCGACATCATTTGAGGCCGACATAGTGTAAATTTGTTATGATTGCGGGGTACGGATAGAAAAATAGCTTGGAAGAAAAACCAATGATAAAGTCTTCGGATGTTGATGGTGGTTGCGAGCGAGTTCGGTGATTGTCGGTTCTCCAGACACCGAGACAGCGCCCTTACTAAAAACACCTTTGAGCCCCGAGTTTGATTGGGTAAAAAAATACATATGAAATTGTTGCAAGCTACTACAAGAGGTCTAGCTACGATTTACAGACGTCAATGTTCATCTCTCGCGCGACAGTATCACATTTACATTCGTAATGCGCAATGCAGATTCCAAGAAGCAAACGGTCCACCATCACGCGATCCTAACAAACTTATGCCAACACACTCGTCTGCCACACTATCGTAACACGCAGATGAATTGCATTTGGTTTTCGGAGCAAGCACGACAATGTTCTGTCACTACTCTATCTCCTTAGTCCTATGCAATGCTATCACTATTTCATCGCATTCACCATCGTTCACACAGGCACCATATCTCGTTCTAGCGAGCTCTCTTCGGGGCGATGTCCACGTCCACAAAGACTGGTGGTGATACGCCAATAGTTATATCGATGGACCCTGCAACTACTTTTACTACCACTATACAAGTAGTAACCAGTACAGTCGAAGAGAAGACTTCTCCAGAGGTTCTGACTCAGCCGGCTGAAGTGTCAAAACCGACAACAGAAAGCGCGCTTCTAACATCATTCGACGTCTCGCTACCTAACCCAACGTCTTCCTTGATGGTAGTCGTATCGACAATAGCCACCACTTATGCTGACGATGAAGAGAAGTCGGAAGTGTTATCGAGCGCTTATACTTCCTTGAGATCTACTCCTCAGACGACTATCGCACCATCTTCATTCGATTCAGTATCACCTACAACTGCTGAATCTTCCACTCCATCGCAACCTGAACCTGGTCTTAGCGTAGCGGCGTCAATTGGGCTAGGTGTATCGATGGGTGTCGGAGCATTTCTTGTCATAGTAGGGGTTCTATATGCAGTGTTCGGACGGTATCTAAGGAATATGAGGAGAAGTTCGGAACGTCGGATGGGTGCAACGAATGTAAACAGATGGTGGAAAGGAAGAAGACGGGATAGTTGATGATATTGAGTGAATTAATGAACAAGAATTTCTCCTTCGTCTGAAGCATGAAGAGTCCGTACTTCCTAAATCATCTTCAATCCCTTATATCACCCAAGTGTTGTTTCCTGATCACTACCACCAGGATCATGTTATCCCCATAAATCTCAATATCAGGTAGCTGATCTGGCAAGCCCATAGGACCATCTTCCAATAGAGTTACGCTGCTGAAAAGATTGCTTGTAGAGGAGATAAGTAAGACATACATCCCGCCTGTACACCGAGGAACACGAATAGTATCCACAACAGAAGCGTTGTACCTCGGGTGAAGGGACTAACATAAGTGGTGAGAATGAGAGATTGTGCATCTTAGCTGTTGCAGAGAAGCGAGTATATAAGTGAACTGAGTAAAGGCATTGCGGGATGAAAGAGCACATCGATGAGTTCAAAAGTTTGACCAACCTCGGATTAAATGGATCCTACGCATTATGCACAGGACAAGAGGTATCTACAGTACTAAGCACTCGCAGCCACCACCCCAGCCCGGGTGATGTGAGGTCTCGTGATAGCAATCTTGTCCTCCAAGTCTTGCAGCGAAAATCTAGGCCTACGGTATGTGTAGCCCACAAAAGCACCCTTCTTCCTGATCTCCAAAACGGTACGGCCAACGTCTGGATCTCGGAGAAGTTTGTCACGAGGCCTCTTCTTCTCTCGCTTACGCCTCTTCATTTCTTGCAACGATTTGGCAAATAAAGCCTGGGCGGGTTTAGCGATACTGTTTTGCTGGGTTGCCGGCTGGACCAAGGGCGTGGTCTCGTTTTCGCCAACACGGTCTGCTAAATTGGAAACTAACAATTCTCCGACAGCCTCGTAGCTTGAAGAGTCGAGATGATCAGAAGCGCTCATGATCTCAGCCTCATCATCGAAGTACTTGGTAATTGACTGGCCGCCATGAACACGAGGTACAAATGGAGGACGAGTCTGATGCAGTTGTGACCACTGGATGTTGCGAAAGAACGGATGCGATTTGATGTCTTCGGCGTCATTTGGGTAGACGATATGACCAGTGGTGTTGATGTTCCGGTTGCGGCGCGCACCGGCAGCTTTGTCACGGAGGACCCAGTCATTCTCACGGTATCGCTTAGCTGAGAGTCGATCTTGTCTCTCGTCGAGCAATCGCATCATTAGATCGATTGCATTGCGTGACACTGGCATCAGTGGTACGCGGTCGATATTGGGACGAGCATATCGCTGCTCAGATGGGAATCGCAGCCACCGGGTGTGGTCCTGTAAAATCAGTACCAGAAAACGAGGTGTCGAAGCCTGACTCACCAGTATGCGCGCTTTCGTGGCTTGGCGATTGTCGCAAAAGAAAGGTGTGCACCCGTAGAGACACTGGCTTCGTCAGTGAAGTTGCATCTGCCTTGTCACCGCCACATACCTCGTATAGTATGATACCGATGCTCCACCAGTCACAGCGACCATCGTAACTTTCACCTCGTATTACCTCTGGTGCCATGTATTGACTTGTTCCGACGACGCTCTTTGCGAATTCACGCCTTTGCTCTCGATTCAACCAGTCGATTATGGGTCCATTGCCTGAGTCTTGTCTGGTCTGGTAACGGCCGCGCGCCGCGCCACCTCCGTTGACAGGTTCCAGGGTTTTGCGAGCATCTTGTCGGCTCTTTTCCTCTTCAATATCTTGTACATCGCCTTTGATATGCAGATCCAGATTACGGAGTAGGCCGTACCGTTGTTCGTTATAGTACGTCTGATTATGAGCCCAGTGTCCATCGAAAGCGAGGCCAAAGTCGGAGATTTTGAGATGACCAGATGACGTGATGAGGAAGTTGTCAGGCTTGACATCGCGATGAATCCAATTCATCTTGTGTGCTTCCTCAATGCACAATATCATCTCCGCAAGATACCACTTGGCAACATTCTCGTCTAAGATGTCTTCGCGAAGAAGTAGGCCCAGAAAATCACCACCCACCATGTACTCCATGACAAGATAGAGATTGTTGTTATCTTGGAAAGCAGAGATGAGAGGTACCACCCATCTTGAGTTTTCAGAAGCGACTAAAAAGTCTCGTTCTGCCCGCAAGTGTCCCTCTTGACTGTTGCGAAGCATATCCGACTTCCTGATGACCTTCATGGCGAAGACTTGCTTTTGTCTGTGGGTTGTTGGGGAGGACCTATCATTTCTTGGTGTCAACGAGCCATCAAGATATCCTACACTGCAGCTGCTCCCCCTTAGAGTGCCGCAATTGTCGCTCTTCTCGCGCACGAGGCGAACGACACCAAAGCTACCCTTTCCGAGTACTCTTATGATGTCATAATTGGAAACATGTACACCCTTCATTGCCCGACGCGCTAGTGTATTGGACTTCATGACGCGTGTTTGGCGCAGATGGTTTGTCTCTGCGAGGTACTATTCTCGTCTTTTGCAATGACGCTGCTCGTTGGGTATGGCCATAGCGAAGAGCTTGCGCTCCATTTGGCGGCGCCGCATGGATCGTGGCGCGACCTTGGTTCCGAGGAGCTGATTGAAATGAGACTCGAAAAAGGTTTTTGCCGCTGCGGCATGCTCGATGGTAGCAATGGAAGGCTCACATAGCCGTGGTGCATCTTGACGTGGGAAGACGAGGAACCGGGGAGGCATGTGTTCTGGAGTGGGCTCACAAAAGAGCGCAGGTGAGTTGTCAGTTATATGACGACCGTTCTGGGTTCGATATAGCGTTTCGGTAGACAGCGGCGCACCCGATGAGACCAACGACGTTGGTGCAGTCGACTGACTTAAGGGTGCGTTGCTACTGGCAGGACTGAGAACACTTGATGGAAGAGAAGGCACCTCGGACATGGGGCTTTTGGGCGAGGTTGCAGTTTGCTGGTCATCGCTTGGTTGGTTGAACTGGTCGGCTTTGACTGTTGGGCGAGAGCTTAACTTGGGTCGATGTACTACCGTATCGTTCTTCAAAAGGGCGTTGGAAAGCTTAGAAGTGAGTTGCCATGAGAGGTTTGGCGATGACCAACTTGTCGATATGGGCGCAGAGGGCGGCGTGCGAGCTCTTGGTATAGGTTCCGACTCGCCATCGAAGACGGCGGCATTAGTGAGTTGAAGTAAGGATGAAGAGTCAGGATCGAGGGAGAGAGTTGGTAGAGTCATAGGTACATCGGGAACTATAGGACATTGTAGAGGAGAATTGGAGTAGGATTTGACGGTATCGACACGTGGTACGTCTTTTGATTTGTTCGCTGTTGACCCGGTACTACCAAATGTGGCCTCCCCAGGGCTTGGAGCGGAACCTGTTACTGCCATTAGTAGAAGCCACAATGTACAGGACAGACGTACATGACATACTCTTGCTATTGCGGAAGATGGAGAAAATCTTGATGCTTCCCCGACGAAGTGTAGTAAAGGTACGGCTAGCAGGGGTACTGTTGCGCCCCTGTAGGTTCTTCGTGGAGGGGCTGGAATGTCCCTCTGCTGATCGCTCAATAACGCGAATCTTGCCTTTGTCACGAGACAAATGTATCTGGTTATGGGCTTCTTTTCTTTTCCGCGCTCGGACGAGCGACGTCATGCTGGCAGCTGTGGTGTTGGGGTGTTGATAGAGGTTAGAGCCGAGCAGAGTAACAATGTTGGATAGACGCTGCGGTCATCGAAGAATGTCGATGCAGTGCTGTTGGTAATGTCGGTAACAAGAGGAACGAAAAAGTCCAGGCAAATGCTGTATACCGCTGTCATTGCGGAAAGCATGACTTGATTGATGTGGAAGGACGTAAGTCCCATTACAGAAAGGCGGCCATAGTCTCTCAGTGCTCATAGAAGGCGCCCACAACGACTACAGTATCAACCGTGATTACTGTACCTCAAGCGCAACCGTTGCAACCGCTACCCAGGGTACCAGAATCAACGAATTCGTGTACCCTGCATCCAACACGATCTACAATCTCATGGCGCTTGGCTAAAGCAATGCTTGTTCACTGCTAGCCGCAGCGCGCAAAGATATTCCTTCTCTACATCCAGCAAGGGGAGTATGGATGTGGTGCCTCGCGCCGTCCTGGCAGGCACTAGCAGCGATTCCGAGGATGCATCGCGCTGCGTGAATGGTGCACTGGTACTTTGGGCACGATGCGGATCCAGAAGGAGCGTGGTTCAAGCAAATAGTCGAATATGAGGCCTTCGTTCGTCCCGGTGCAGTGGGCACAACCAAGCGACCAGGGGCGAAGAAACAAGCGCCCAATCAGCATTGGCAACACACAACCCTTCCCCAGCTATCGCACTGCAGCCATCATGCAGCGATATGAGGATAGAAACATGCGCATACATGACGGCTGGGAATTATATTGCGGCAAAGTCGTTGATCGTCGTTCGTTGGGGGCCAACGGCGGCAAGCTGACTGTGCCCACGATTGCTCGCGTTTTGCACTTCTTTCTCTTACAAACAGAGATACCTAGCTGTGGCGGCTCGACACTCTATATCACGCCGTGGTCACACTATCACGGCCGAGTCGCGCGGGATGCCGGTTTTTCTTCAATCTGGAAGGCTTCCTCGCTGCTTGTGATGGGCATGTGGATTATGGAGTAGTTGGGCGCTTAGAGGTGCCTGGCCGGACTGCCGAGGGTCTGCAAAGCCATCACACGCTTCCGCAAATCAGAGAAGCCCTGTGCATGGCCATCTCGGACGCTATTCGCTCCGCCTCTCTAGAGGCGTTCCCTCCCGCCCGACAATACGTGCATACGCGAAGCTCAGTGGTCGCTGGCCCCTGTAGAGTCAATATGCTAGCTCCGTGCCTATTCGCTGCCTACTCAATGCTTCGAGGGCTGACATGCAAAGGCTGGCCATGCTGGCGGACCCGTTTTGCACTGCTCATTCGCCTGAAGCGTCTCTTTCGCTAGCAATGGCATGGTCGCACGAGGCAGTCGAGGCCAAGTCCTGTAATCCATAAGTGCTGATGCCCCCCGCCACCGCACGCTGCCCGTTCTGCGTCGACTACCATCAAATCGTGCACCCTTAAGCTGACGGGTCACTACATTGAAAAAGAGAAGGATCCCCGCTTCGCAAGAGTCTTTGCTTTCCGAACCGTACCGCCACAATGTTTCGTTTTACCGAGCTCGTTTTCGTGGCCGCTACTTGGTCGCTCGCCGCTGCACATACCGTTATCGTCTACCCACCATGGAGAGGAAACAACATCCACACCAACGGAACCAAGTCCGACACCGACCCATCTATTCCGGATGGGTCGCTCGGTATCAACTACCACAATGACACCGGCACATATGGATTCCCATACGGCATGCAATGGATGTACCCATGTACGTTGCTCAGCCCGGTTATGTCGCGTATGAGACAATAGCTAATAACATTCACAGGTGGTGGTATGCCAATGTCACAAAACCGCACAAAGTGGCCGTTGAAGGGTGGCGCCGTCTCGATTCAGCCTGGATGGTTCCCTGGCCATTCGCTTGCCATGTTCTACATCAACATGGGCTACGGCAATGAGCCTCTGAACTACTCGCATACGATGTTGCCAGTGTTCCAAATTCAAGGACCTTCGAACCAACAATACCCAGGCCAGTTCTGCCTGCCACAAGTACCATTACCCGCAAACTACACACCTCAAGTCGGCGACAATGCGACTATTCAGGTTATCGAGCTTGCGCAACATGGTGCTGCTCTCTACAACGTGAGTAACAGCGTCCGTGAACAACGATGATACAGTCACTAACATAGTTCAACAGTGTGCCGACATCACTTTCGCCGAACCAGAGGACGTTCCTGAGGTCAACGAGACCAACTGCCGCAACACAACAACGCCAGACCAGCACATTGGTTTCCAAATCGTATATGCGACAACTTCATCGCCGGCGCCACACAATATGGTTGTCAACAGTTACGCATCGATAGCGGTACCGGCAATGCTTGCAGCTGCCTCGTGGATAACATGGGTTGTCTAAGCCACGATTATATCATTTATTTGTTAATATGATTTTGTTACGGGCATGGCGTTAGGCGCGAAAGATATCCAGTCTCTTCTGAAGCGACGATCTCCACTTGGAGCGTACGCGGTGTTTTTGGTCTGCGCATATGGAGGTGGACGAACGAGCTGCTTAGCAGCTACGACGGTCTTTCTTTGCGCACATAACACCTCACTATGCAGCATGGTGCACACAAACTGCACGTCCAATACTATTCGCAACTACAGCGTTTTTTGTTCCACTCATCGCTCACTCAGCGTCAGCAACGTGCCGTCATGCTTGCTAATGCCCATACCAAAGATGTCTGCTTCTGTAAGCCGCCACCAGGAGGCCTGATCTACATGCGTGATCCAGATAACAGCGGGTGGCTTGAGGTGAGGCCAAATCGTAGACCCATTTGCAACAGGCACGCTTTCCAGATGGCCTTTGCAATAGTTTGCGGGCCCTACAAGGACCCTTTTCGCCATTCCGCGTCGGAAATCCCGTTCCGAGCCTCCCTTTCCCCACTAAAACCAGACCCTTGTCCTCTCACGATGATTTTCTACGCGCCCAGGTGGTCCCCTTCCATCCTTCCCGTCATTGCCATCAGCACTTTGGCCACCGCTTCTACGCGCCCATGCAAGCCGCACCTTAACTCGACGACGTGACGATCGGTGATTTCTGTACGTCATTTCGGATTTTGCTACTCTTCTGGTTCGAGAATATGCGCCTTGTTTTCCAGCCAAGACTGATTTTTGAGTGGAGCCCGAAGAAGTGAAGAGAAGGAATGAGCAAAAAAGGCAGGGGGCGTGTGAAGAGGAAGGAGGTTCAGAGTGATGATGGTTGGACCGTGATCACTCATGGGCTAGCTAGCGTTTCGCTCAATGACAAGGGGAAGAAAGAGATAGATGCTGGATCTTTACCGACTCGGACTGTTGAGGGTTTGACGGCTGAGAAGCTTCTCGAGGACTTTCGCACTCTTCAAGATCGATGGGAAGACACTTTACTTGCCAAGCAAGTTAAAGAAATCCTGGAGAAGAGTGGTGGAGATAGTGGGTGGGGAGTCGAGGAGGCGGCATGCATAGGCATCGGCAGTTTCAGTAGGGACTGGGCACATCGGTGGAGAAGTCTGTGGCAGCTTGTATTGTTTGTTGCTGTAGTTAAGAGGGGTATGTTATTGTCACTCTACCTTTCTTTATCTCTATGCAGAACAACTAATATCAAAATAGTCAAAGACGACAATAAGGACACCAAGTTGGGATGCTTCGCCCAAGACCCAGCCTTCACACCTCTCGACGTTGAATTCCTCTCCTTACTTTCCATTACAGTCCTCGAATCCGGCCTTCAGTCCCGCATCACATCTCAATCCTTCGTCTACTCGCCTTTCGTAGATTGGTTTCTTCTGTTACCAGTGTTCCTCAAATCTAAAGATCCAGTCTTGTATGTCGGTAATGAGATACTGGATGATTACAGTGTTTACGCGCAAACAAAGGAGAAGAAGGAACGGTTGGAGGAGTGTAACGAGGTAGGCAAGAAGTGGACGGAAGGTAGGGAGAAGGTGGCTTTGAAAGAGTTCGAGAAGCATGGAAACGCCTTGAATGGGATGGTCGTTTATTGGAAGAATGCTGATCAAGGGGTACAAGAAGGGAAAGTCCCAGATGAGAAGCCTGATGGAAAGATATGAAGGTACTGTGTCTCGAAGGCAGGCACGAGAAATCTTTGAAACGCCCAACACATTCAGCGTTGTGGTTTGCTACAAGTTTAGGGGAAACACTTCGTAGTCATAGGGAGAGTAAGATCCGAGACTCCAAAACAACCACAACCCTACAACATGTCTTGTTCTTCTTCCTTGTAGGAGGTAGATACAAACTTTCCTATTGCTCCACCTTAGGCTTCATCCATCATATCAAAGTCATATTACGCTTTTACAAAAATGACATCGGGGTTGATGATGTCTGTGTCTGCCTCTGGAGGGCAGCAATGCTGATCAGCATCATGCGTGAAGAGCTTGAGTTCAAAGCACTTCCATAAAATCGCACATTTGTTGTACCTACTACCCGAGTGGAAGAAATTGAACCTCTTCCAAGCGAGGGTAGAGCATTCTACTACCTACGTGTCGCACCCACCAGACGTGAAGACGAAGTATATACTCAATACACTTCCATCCGCATCTATTTGCCCATACCCTTCAAGTATGTCTCCCAGCCATCCTCTAGCAGGGCCTTGTCCTTGCGCATAACCTCATTCTCGTTACCCTCCATCCAGACCCTCAGCCTCTCGCGGATCGTCTTGTCCTCAGCACCAAGGATACGAACAGCAAGCAGCGCAGCATTGGTCGAGTTGTTGATACCGACCGTAGCAACAGGCTCACCGCGCGGCATCTGGGTCATGCTGACAAGACTGTCCCAGCCATCCATCACACTCGCCTTGACAGGAAGTCCAATGACTGGAAGTGTAGTCCACGACGCACACATACCAGGCAGATGGGCTGCACCGCCCGCTGCGCCGATGATCACTTTCAGAGAGGTCTGAGAAGCGGTCTTGGAAAACTCTCGTAGCCAGTCGGGTGTTCGGTGGGCGCTGGTGATGCGTGTTGTGAAGGGAATTTGCAGCTTGGTGAGGATCTCCAGACCGGCGCGGAGGACAGGGAGGTCAGAATCTGAGCCCATGATAACAGCAACGAGCGGATCTTCTTTGGAGCTTTCAGAACTGCGCGATTCGACATTCTTGCCTTTTTGGTTGTCGACGAAGTCAACGAGTGGCTGGATCTCGCGTTCTGCGGCTACGAGTGTGGGCGCTGTGATGGTGATGTGACCCATCTTACGTCCGGGACGTGCATCGCCTTTACCATAGAGATGAATCGATGCATTTGGTGACTCAAGAGCTTTCTTTGCGACCTGAACATGGGAGTCTGGAGTCTTGCCGCCGAGGATGTTAAGCATGATTGAGGGTTCGCGGAGGCGGAGACTGGACTGGGAGATGGGCAGATCAAGAATAGCTCGCAAGTGCGCATCGTACTGAGAGATGGGGCAGGCTTCAATGGTGTAATGGCCTGAGTTGTGCGGACGGGGTGCGATCTCGTTGATGAGTAGGCTGTCGTCTTTGAGCAGGAACATCTCGACGCCGAAGACTCCCTTTCCTTCGAAAGCACCGATAGCCTTCTTGGCAAGTTCTTGGGCTCTTTGTGCGGCCTCCTCTGCTACGTTTCGTGGTGGCGCATATGTAAGCTTGCAAATGCTATCTTCGTGTACAGTCTCAACTGTAGGGAATGTGAGTACGCCGTCCTTCGTCTTGACAACCATGACTGCGAGTTCCATCCTGAAGTCTGCCCATCGTTCGGCATATAGTGGCCTCTTTCCTAGGGCCTCGAATGCAGCGTCAACATCCGCCTCAGTCTTCACCACAAAGTTTCCCTTGCCGTCGTACGCCTCCGTCTTACTCTTGAGCATGAAGGGATAACCATATGATGCACCCACCTCTTTCAACCCCGCAACACCTTTCCCCTCCAGATCGATGCTGTCCGCAACGTCAACTCCATGCTCTTTCAGGTACTGCTTCTGTGCGTATTTGTCCTTGATGGTCCGCAGTGTTTTCCAGCTAGGTTCAACAACGACTTGTCCAGATACCTCTTCTAGCATATGGGTATCCACGTGCTCAATCTCGACAGTAACGACATCGGATGATTCAGCGAGTTTCTTGACAGCCGCTGCATCTTTGAAAGATCCCTCAATGTGGCCGTCATGCGTTGATATCTGCTTTGCTGGCGATCCCGCGACATCCAGGACATTGACTTGTATGTTTAACCGATTTGCGGCTTCGATCAGCATGCGGCCCAATTGGCCACCGCCCAGTACGCCTACTTTTCGATTGTCGGCCATCTTGTTAGTGTTGGTGTTGAAGTCAAGTCGTTCAAGTGCTGCAGTGACTAGTTGGGGTATTACGTGGGTGAGAGTGGTTAGCGCGATGGTTGGTTGGATGTGGGGGAGCCGCAGAAAAATTAGCACGCGAAAAACTTCGTCGTCCAGCAGTCGTATACAGAATTTCCTGTTGCAGACAAATAGTCCTGCAAGTGAGATTGCGCATGATAGTGGTATTTTTGAACGAAAATGACGTGCACGTTCACCAGAGCAATATGTGGACATGTGGTTCATGATTTAACCATGAGCTCGGAAGAGCCCATCTGTATGCTTTCATTTCATGTTGAGCATTGAGTATCTTTTTGCAGGCTTTCGAAGAGCCCTTGCCAGTCATGACGCGCGCCTCATAAGTGAATTCCCATGACCATGACCACGCCAACCCAGAGAAACCAGAGTGCTTCCAGCACACGCTTAAACCTTGAAACCACGCGACCTTCTGCGTCCACGGGCACGCTCGAACTTGCGACCCTTGCTCTCGACGTAAGGCTTCTTGTGAGAGTGGGGACCGAAGCCGAAGTGCTTGAAGGCCTCACGGGCGTTCTTGGGTCCACGGAGGAGGAGGGTGTTGGATCCAGTGGGGAAGCGGGTAGCGACCTCGTCGATGGTGAGGCACTCACCACCGGCCTTCTCGATGCGGGCGCGGGCAGAGGCGGTGAAGCGGAGAGCCGCAACGGAGAGCTTGGGGACCTCGAGCATGCGGTTGTCGTCAGTGACGGTACCGACCTGACCGTATGTTAGCCATTGTTCTTCGTTGTAGGTTTCTTCGCTTGACGTACGACAACAACGGTCTTGCCCTCGTGCTCCTTGGCGGAGTGCTTGTTGGCAGCGTTGGCGACGATCTTGGAGACGGAGACCGGCTACGGAGTGTTAGTGGTACTGTTCTGCAGGCTTCGTGCGATCGATCGTCTTACGGGACGGTTGGTCTTCGACATCATGAGGCGTCGCAGAACGGTCTTGTTGAAGTTGGCATCGGTACGGCCTGTCCGCTGTTAGCACAAACAACGTGCGCATTTTCAGTTGGAGTACTTACGAGCCAGGAACTTGTACAGGCGCACCAACAGCCTGACGTAGGGGTTGGTGGACTTAGGGACCTCTGTATACTCGTCAATCTCTCTTCTCTCGAAGGCTTCATGTTGCGTCTAAAAGACAGCTGTCGCCAGCGCATTGCTGCGCCGACTCGACGGGGGATCACATACTGCGGTGCCCGTCTCGAACATGGTGGCGGTCGAGGTCGATTCCCATCTTGACTGATTTTGAGCGTGTTGTGCTGTGGGTTAGTAACGACTGAGGGAGAGAGCGAAGTTCGTGAACTCGAATTTGGCAGGAAAGAGCTCCTTGGCGTGGTGTGGCCCGTGCGAAGCGAGAACTCGAAAACTCCACCCGGCAGGAGCGAAGTGGCCCAGCATGCATGCCGCTTAGTCTACAATATTTAGAACATCGCATGTGATATTTGTGGTGCATCTTCGTGTTTCCATTATTGCATGCTCGTATCTCAACAGATGACACCTGTTTCAAGCTGGGGACCCCCGTTGGTCTTCAAAGCCACACACACATCAGATACAACACCACGACACAACAAGACACAGTTGAAGAGGCTGCTCGCAAGCATTACCATTATGTAGCTAGAAGTGTTTACTTTCGCTCGCAGTTTCTGTGAATGCCTGCAAGATCTATGTGTCAAAAACGTGTTACTTAATCATTCCCTGTCATTGCTCCCTGACATGCGGTAGACACCACTGTCGCGTACCGAACCACAAAAAGTCTCAAAGAAGGCTCCGTCAGCATGAGAAGTTCCTGCTCGTCTATGCGTATAAACACCGGTCACCGTACACTCCAAATCCGCTCCAAGCTAAAGATAAAACAACAAGGGGGAAGGAAATCAAGGGCAGCCGAGCGTACTGCGAGTGCGTATGCTCTGGGCTAGAAACTGGCATCGACTCGTCGTGGAAGGCCGAGTTCTTATACAGCCTTGTCGCCGATGAGCTTGCCGATACCGTTGTAGACCTGGTTGGTCGAGTCGGGAGCGTAACGGGGTCCGAGAGAGCCAAGAACGAGGAACATGCCGATGACAACAGCGGCGAAGACCATCAACTTGCGGAGAACGGGCCTGGTGTGGCCAAACTCCTGCCACTTCATGCTGCCCTGGCCGAGGTACTCCTTCAACTTCTCTCCGCCGAGCTTGTAGTACACAAGACCACCAAGCGCAATAGCGTAACCGAAAGCCTGGAGAGGGGTGACGGGGTCCTTGAAGAGGAACATGGAGGCAAAGACGAGGAGAATGTCCTTGAGTACACCGGAGAGGGTAAGGACGAGCGAGGAGGTCTTGCCAATCTGGAAACATGTAAGTAGATGCATGGCAAATGGACAATGTGCAACATACCAAGAAAACGACCGAGACGTTGAGCAGGAAAGCAACAGATGCGTTGGCCAGCAGAGTCATAAGACCGACACGGTCCACATCAGCCATGGTCATCTGGGGAAGCTCGGTGAAGAGCAAGATGAATCCGTTGATGACAGCGCAAGCAGGGGCGTAGTAGTAGAGGGAGACGAGCGGGTCCATCTTGAAATCGGCACCGCTGAGCAGGCGCTGAACCATGACCAGACGGACAGCCTCGAAAACGATACCAGCGCACTGGAAGAGGAAACCGATCATGACGAATTGGATCTCTCCCATCGAGGCAATGACGACACCAATAACGATGAAGGACACATTTCCGAGCGTCTTCAGGTTGACAGGCGCAACTCCGAGACCCCAGGTGGTGAGAAGGACGGCGACGGGCATAGTAGCCTGCAGAGGTCAGTAGCTGCCACATTGTTCATCTCCGGTCTTGACGTACCTTGAGCATTTGGATAAAGGCCACACTCAGGTAGAGGTATGCCTGGTTACCGCAGATCAAGCTCATACTGAAGAAGATACCGATGGGAACGATGGCTCGCAGGTATACGCGTCCGGTCATGGGCACCTTTTTCCTCGAGTCGAGGACGGTGGTGAAGCGGGCGAGGATCTGGGTCATGACGGTCGCAAATACCAAATGCCATGTTGTCAGGAAAATGGGAAAGTCTGGTGCTGGCGTTAGAATGCGGCGTTGCGGCGGAGCAGTAGAGTACACGTACGGAACTTGGCTGTATCTAGGATGTACTTGTTGAAGACGATTGTGCTGGAACTGAGAGTGATCCATGTTCTGCAGCATTGTCAGTACGTCGTGTCGTGCATATTGGGATTGAGCTGACCTACGCAATGTATACTGCAGGATGGAAAGATGGCGCCTCGGGCTGGGGCTTCTGCGCCTCTGGGTTGACAGTCGGGAGCACAGGCAGGGCTGTGTCGCGCGACGCCTCTACAGAGGATCTCATCTTCTCGTCTGACATGGCTGCGGGTGGTGGCTAACGAGGGACGGTAGAGGTGTTGGTGAAGGTCAAAGGAGGTGCGGCGCTGGAGAAAGCGTGGTTGCAGTTGCAGTAGCAGTGGTAGTGGGCTAGCGCTGCTGACTGATGATGTCTTGCGCGTCCAAGGACAAGCGTGGCACAGGCAACACGAACACGGTCGAGGTGACTTGGTGCACTCGAGGCAAGAGGCAATGAGGAGATAAAGAGCGACAGAAGTGTTGGGAGCACTTGTAAAAGTGACGGTAATAATACCTCGAGGCGCTAGGGAAGGGAGGGGCGGAGCGGAAATCAACCTGACGACCTTCTAGAGCCGGCGCACAGGGGGGGTTCTGGTTTAGGAGCGCTATCACTGGGCAACGGCCAACTATGTACTAGAGCTGATATGAGGCAAGATGAAGATTTGCCAGGGCCGCGCGGGATTTTGCAATGCTCGATGAGGTGAAACTGATCTGCTGTGGAGCCCTCGATGGACGCGCAATCGACGACTGCTGCGAGCCTCCCCCAGCCATGGCGCCGAAATTTTGAGCCGCCTTTTAGCAATTGCTTGTGTAGGTGTGTACGCGTACAGTTCTCCCTGCAGAGAGCGGCCGAAGCGACCGGTCCCACATGTCTCTGGAAAGGTGACAGCTTCATGCACATCGCAGCACCCATACTGCTGCCACGCGCAAATTGTTTACATTGCAGGAGCCACGCCGTGTCGCTGAAGTAGCAGGGTGAGGCGCACAATAGGGGTAATGCATGCTGCTGTCGCTGCCGTACAGAGGTACTTTCGCACACAAGGCTTGATTGCATGGTCGCACTAGCACGACACCAAGTCGATGCGTCGTTGATCTGAAGCTGTAGTCCCCCAGAGATAGAGTCGGTCAAGCTTCACTACGGTGTTGCAACAAGCCAGATTGAGGCTCCACCCGCGGGAACGTGCAGTGGAACACGGTGACACAGCGCGCAACGACAACGGGTCCTCGAAGCCATGAACGTGTTGCACATATGGGGTGTGAAAAGGGAGGCTGTCATGATACGCAGAAGACAGCGGCCAATGAAGATGCCCATGAGCAGCCATGTTCTGCCAGATCGACGGTCCCCGTGGCGGCTTGCCCCTTTTCTGGCCGTGGCCTGTACAAGCGCTCCAAGCTCTCCCCCAGCCGAGCAGGCGAGTCCTTCGGCGGCTGGCCCCAGCTGTACAGTACCCTGGACCCGCTTAAAGCAGTATCGCCCTTGGCGTGCTTAGTTTATCGCCAGCTATATTCCTCCACCACGCCCCAAGAGTTTGGCCTCTGCTCCACATTCCTCTATAACTACTGTTGCACTGCTCGCGCACCGAGTACATGCTGAACTACGCCCGCCAGACTTTGAAGCGAGTTCCGAGTTTTCAGGAAATACTACAAGGCAAGATGGGATCCGCCAAGGAAGAAATGTATGTTCACCGCCTGCCCACCTTGCATCCTTCGGGAGCACGCCCTGACAATGCCACAGTTCTGTCGATGTGCTCGTTATCGGTGCTGGTCCGACCGGTCTCGGAGCAGCAAAGCGCCTGCACCAGATTGTACGTCCAACAGACACCTCCTGCAAGTGGCGGGGCAAGTGCTAACAACCGCAGGACGGCCCCTCATGGCTGATTGTCGACTCCAACGAGACACCTGGTGGTCTAGCTTCGACCGACACCACTCCAGAGGGCTTCGTGAGTATCTCCACTGCCAATTGACTGCCATTGTCTAACACTGCCCCAGCTCTACGACGTCGGTGGCCATGTCATCTTCTCCCACTACAAGTACTTCGACGATTGCATCGATGAGGCCCTTCCCAACGACGACGACTGGTTCACCCACGAGCGTGTCTCCTACGTCCGCTGCAAGCGCCAATGGGTCCCCTACCCATTCCAGAACAACCTGTCCATGCTGGACAAGGACGACCAGGCCAAGTGTGTTGACGGCTTGATCGACGCCGCACTTGAGGCTCGCGTGGCAAACACCAAGCCCAAGGACTTTGACGAATGGATCATGCGTCAGATGGGTGTTGGTATTGCCGACCTCTTCATGAGGCCATACAACTTCAAGGTCTGGGCTGTTCCCACCACCAAGATGCAGTGCCAATGGCTCGGAGAGCGTGTCGCTGCTCCCAACGTCAAGGGCGTCATCAACAACATCATTCACAACAAGACCGCAGGAAACTGGGGTCCCAACGCTACCTTCCGCTTCCCCGCACGAGACGGTACCGGTGGTATCTGGAAGGCTGTCGCAAAGACACTGCCAGAGTCCAAGACAAAATACGGCGACCACGCCAAGGTCAACAAGGTCGACGCCGACGGCCACAAGGTACACTTGAACGACGGCACAGTCGTCAACTACAAGAAGCTCGTCAACACTATGGCTGTTGACGCGCTCGTCGAGGCCATGGGCGACAAGGAGCTCATCGACCTCAGCAAGGGTCTCTTCTACTCAAGCACACACGTCATTGGTGTTGGTCTCCGTGGCGAGCGCCCTGAGCGTATTGGCGACAAGTGCTGGCTCTACTTCCCCGAGGATGACTGCCCATTCTACCGCGCCACCATCTTCTCCAACTACTCGCCATACAACCAGCCACAAAAGGACGTCAAGCTTGCCACTCAGCAGCTCGCAGATGGCTCCAAGCCCAGCTCCACCGAACCCAAGGAGGGTCCATACTGGTCCATCATGTTGGAGGTTTCCGAGTCCAGCATGAAGCCCGTTGACGAGAAGAACATGCTCAAGGACTGCATTCAGGGCCTCATCAACACCGAGATGATCAAGTCCGACGACGAGATCGTATCCACCTACCACCGCCGCTTCGACCACGGATACCCCACACCCTCGCTCGAGCGTGAGGGCGTTCTCACTAAGCTTCTCCCTGCGCTCCAGCAAAAGGACATTCTGTCGCGTGGCCGCTTCGGCTCATGGCGATACGAGGTCGGTAACCAGGACCACTCATTCATGTTGGGTGTAGAGGCTGTCGACCACGTTGTCAACGGCGCTGTTGAGCTGACCCTCAACCACCCCGACTTTGTCAACGGCCGTAAGAACGAGGAGCGCCGCCTCAAGGACGGTGCCCAGATCTTCGCTCAGACTCCCCTTGCTCTGAGGAACAAGGGTGTTGAGTAAGCGCATACACATTAGATGTTCAGCATGTGCAGTTTCGGAAATGTTTATGGGATACCACGTTATGTTATGAGGGACGGGAAGACATGGAGTTGGCGCATCAGTGCGGACTCTAGGTAGAGATAGGTGCATCGCTTCGCATCTTGAATAGATGTAGAACAAAAATATACTTTTAGACTTGCACATTCACACATCTTGTCCTCGTACGTGAACTGTTTGAATATCGCAGCCGCAATTGGTAACATGTATTCAATACTCAACACACCCTCTACCTCCCCGATCGATCGATCGCGAGAATACATTTTCACTTGTACATGACTAGCGATAATAACCGCGGGCATACTGATTGTCGCATCCTCATCTTGTTAGACTTGTTTTCGAGTCGTAGCAATCACACCACAGTGGGTACCCCCCACCCATGTATAATCAACGGGCCGATTCTGTATGCTTGCCAACCGCTCTAATCTTTCTTTGTTACACAGTCACCGCTGTGTTCTTAGGGACGCGTACAAGCGTTGGATTGACGGGTGTATTACGGAGACTCCGGAGATGGAAGGACATGTTGAGGGTAGCTAGACAATGCAGGGTCTGCAGGATCTTGCAGATGACAGCATGTTGTACACCGTATTGTGGCATGGAGTAGGTAGGGCGAGATGGAGGAAAACGCGGTTATGTGGCGAAAAGACGAATACCGAGTTGGAAGGTCGATGGTAACGTGGCTTTTTGAATGTTGACTTGAAGTGCATGAAGCCGAGAGTTGTTGTGCGTGTGGGCTAGTTTGTATGTAGGTCATGAAGTATGCCTTTTCTTCTACACACGAAGTCTAGACTAAGCCTTGCTTGCCCTAAACTTCCTCAACACCTCCCTCTCCTCGTCATCCCTAGCTATGCTTTCTTCATCGCCTACAGGGAGTCGCTGGTGCTTCCATTGCTTACCCCCTGCGCCATAGTCTGCGCTGACTTGTGCGTCACCAACAATGACCCATTTGTAGATTGTCAAGCCCTCCAGTCCTACAGGTCCTCTAGAATGGATCTTGTTCGTCGAGATGCCGACTTCAGTACCAAAGCCATATCGCTGTCCGTCGGCCATGCGTGTACTGGTGTTCCAGTAAACAGAAGATGAGTCGACGGCAGCGAGGAAGGTCTTTGCTGTGGCTTCTGAGGTCGTCAGGATAGCATCTGTGTGATGAGAGCCGTGTGCGTTGATGTGGTTTATGGCTTCATCGACGTTGGTCACCGTTTTGATCGCGAGTATGTAATCTAAGAACTCAGTGTCGTAGTCCTCTGGTCCGGCTTCCTGGAGCAGTGTTGCGGAGTGCGGGTCTAATTTGCCTTTGAGTGCGAGCAGAGAGGTGGGATCGCAGCGCAGCGACACTCCCTTTTGTAGCAGCGCCTCAGCGACAGTGGGAAGGGTGGAGCTGAGGGCTGCTTCCTCAACGATGAGTTGTTCAAGGGCGTTGCACCCGGCCGGGTAGCTTGCCTTTGCGTCTAAGACGATCTTGGCGGCTTTCTCAGCGGGGTAGTCAGCGCAGAGGTAAGCTGAACATATTCCGTCTGCGTGGCCGAGAACAGGAATGGTGGTGGTGTCTTTGACGTAGCGAACCAGCTTGTTACCACCACGAGGAATGCAAAGATCGATGTATGTGTCTTGCTTTAGTAGGTCGGCAATGACATCGTGTGTTTGGACTAGTTGCAGACAGTCGGATGGGACTGCTGTTGATGGAAGAGCTTTGGAGATGATGGATGCAATAGCCGCAAAACTGTTACTAGACTCACGGCCACCCTTGAGGATAGCTGCATTTCCGGACTTGATGGCAAGCGCAGAGATGTTGGCGATGACTTCAGGCCGAGCTTCAAAGATGATGAGAAGCACGCCAATAGGACATGTTATCCTTGACAGTACCAGGTCATCGTCTAGGAGGGTTTTCGCGGTGGTCTTGTTGATTGGGTCTTCCAGATCCTTCACGTCCAATATTCCCTGCAGCATATCCTCATATTTCCCCGGCTTCCCCAGATCCAGTCTCTTGACTAGACTTGCACTTAGCGTGCCTCCTGCTGCAGCCTTGTTCGCAGCTTCCAGATCCTGCGCATTGGCCGCTAGAACCTCCTCTTTTCCAGTTGCTAGTGCGGCATGGATAGCTATCAATGCGGCATTCCGTTCCTCGGTAGACAAGACGGCGAGTTTCCGGGACCCGAGTCTTGCCGCCTGAGCGACTTGGAGCGGCGTGGCGTTGGTTAGAGACATTATTAGAGATACTTGGTGAGGTGGTGAGACCTAATAACTGATGAATTCTTTGCGCACGCGTGACTCAGAATACCTAGTCTAGAGGGGGACAAAGTCTGAGGCGATTTTATCGGAAGGATCGTATGCAGGGTCTAGTTCCGCTACGAGTACTATTGGTAACTAGAGGCGGATCGTACTGCAGCTGTATGTGGAGGCCGCGTTGGGTCCAAAGATAGGTACAGATGCATGCTGGATGCATGCGCCACATTTTGCCCAACGCCACATGACTCGGCGCCACACGCGGGGAAGTCCGTGATGCCCTCGTGTTCCCTACAAGGTATCTTACCTACTGCGCAGTTCTTGGAAAGTGTCTACACGACGACCAAAGTTGTTGAGAAGAAAGAAATTGGGTTGCGTCATACCCAAGATTTGTTCTTGCTCGGGCCTGACGTGGCTCGAGCTTTGTGGTGGCTGGGTGGCTGGGAGGTTGGGAAGCATTGTCGCCTCGCCAACCTCGTTCAAATCCACCATTAACGATCGCGAGAGAGTCTGACCCGCTCTGTTAGCTTGCTTGACACCTCATCATGTAGGTCATTGCTTAGAGATGGCTGGTACACTACAAAAGTACAATGCTGGCCGGGCCGCTGCACCTGCATCTTACCCATAACCTCTCAAGTGCTGAGCAGGTAATCAACCAACCAAACTAATCACCACGACATTCACACGTGCTACTCTTTAGTACTCGTTTGATACCACAGCACACTTAGAGCATTACATCGCATTACATCGCATCACTACACCATAACCCCGACGCATCCCGTCGGCAACGCTCGCTATCTGCCATCTTCGTTGTCACATCACCACCAAGATGCGCTCCACGATGCGAGCACTCACTGTTCTGGCCTCCGTCGCCCTCTTCGCTCGCTCCAACGCCCAGACATGGTCCAACTGCAACCCAACTCTACGAAGTGACTGTCCCCCGGACTCCGCCCTCGGCAAAACCGTCAACATTGACTTCTCGTCCGAGTCGGAGAGTTTCACAGCACAAGGCAACCCTACATACGGTAACGACGGCGTGTCTTTCACCATCAGACAGTCCGGAGACGCACCCCAGCTTACTTCGCTGTGGTACATCATGTTCGGAAAGGTCGACATTGAAGTTCAAGCCGCACCGGGCGCGGGTATTGTCAGCAGTTTCGTGCTGCAATCCGACACGCTAGATGAGATCGACTGGGAATGGCTTGGTGCAGACCCCGATGAAGTACAATCCAACTACTTTGGCAAGGGACAGACAACAGATTACAACCGTGGTGCTTTCCACTCTGATCCGGGCAGTCAGTCAGGCTTCAAGAAATACACCATCGAATGGACCCCAGAACAGATTGTCTGGCAGATTGATGGTACCACGGTCCGTACGCTAGAGCCTGCGAACGCCAACAACCAATACCCTCAGACACCTATGCAGATCAAGTTCGGCGCATGGAGCGGTGGTGATTCAGCCAACCCCGCAGGTACCATCTCTTGGGCTCGCGGTCCCACCGACTACTCCCAAGGCCCCTTCAGCATGAAGGTCAAGTCTCTCAAGGTTCAGGACTACTCTACCGGTACTCAATACGTCTATGGCGACCAAACTGGCACTTCGGGATCTATCAAGTCTGTCGGAGGTACCATCTTCTCTGGTGGTAACGCTCCTGTTGCCGACGCACCGGCCATCACTGCGACTGCTACCGGACAGCCCCTGCCCTTTACACCTCATCAGACCTCCGATTACGTTCGCCCCAGCGTTTACCCCTGGATTCCCGACCCGTCGGCTACTCCCACTCCGCAACCAACGTTTGCAAACTACCCCGGGCTCCCGAGCGGGTGGACCGTTTCGGATTCCGGAAAGGTTGTTCCACCCAGCTCAGCCACTGTCAGTAAGCCTTTTGCGACCCCCTATCTTATCCCGATAACAAAATGCTAACAATCTTCTGTAGATGTCCCCTCTCGGTTCCTATACCTCATCGCCGCAAGCTTTACCTACGGGTTCCTCCGACAATGGGCCTAAGACAGTGACTGGATATGACGATCGCGGCTTTACCACTATCCGTACGATATACCCTAGCAAAACACCAGCGCCGACTATCAGCGAATTGGAGAACAATGCTGCGACCGGAGTCCCCGCAGCGCCTGCACAAGGCGCATCATGGAAGCTTATGGTCTCGTCCATATTACCATGGGTCATCGTCCTGGTTCACATCCCTGGATGTCTCAGCCTCTAGGCGCGCTGGACCGACTTATGGGATATGATGGACTTCGGTCCAGCGTTCTACATACTAGGCGTTGGTATCGTCGCGATGAGTACATGTGTTAGGAAATGTTTTACGAAAGGATATGTTGGTTTCAAAGTCTCGATCAAGCTCTGGGCTGCACCTTGGCCAGGCATGACCTGGAAATGGAGTTATCAAAACAAGGGAAGCAAAGACAGAAGACTTGAGTACCTTAATGTTTGGATATGGCTACGACTGCTTTTTGGATTTTAGTTGCATAGCGTTGGTTTGGGTTATTGTTAAATATCATAGCGTGGATGGGATTGAGGATTGAGCTATTGCTCTTTTGAACGTTAGACTAATGACGACTACGTCGCAAAGTAATGAATTACTACCCTATGAAACCTGTCCTCACTGTCTGATTCTCGACTGCCAAACTGGAAGATGCTTGGCACTTTTTGAAGAGTGTCTGCTCCGAATATCAACTTTGAAGCTTAAGATATGTATCGAAGTTTGCAAACGAGAACTTAGGGCACTTTTTGACACCAGGTGCAACTCGCGGGCAATAAATCTCCCTGCATTGCCATCTCTGGCTAGCTTCTTTCGTGATCAGGGTCCAGGTATAAAAGTCCCGCTCTGTCACCAGGGCATTCAGAACAACCTTTTTCTAGAACTATCAGACCATTTCCACATATAGGGACCATGTTTGTCTCACAGAAGGTGATTGCATGCGGTCGTCACACTCTATAATTATCAAGGAGATGACAAGGTTCAAAAGGTCCAAAACGCCGGAATGGACTTTTTGAAGAATGCTAGTATACATAAAGAATTAAAGCTCCATCCTATTCATGCTGTAAGTCCGAAAATCATGTGCTTTCTCCTCCATCTCAAACCGAAACAGGGAAAAAAGAGCAAGTGCCTAAACACGATCTTGGCCATGCATATCACACCTTCGATTATTCCGCCAAGTACAAACCTAGCTCAGCCTAAGATGAGCAAGCCGGTTGTTTAGTATAATTCCAACTCTTTTCTGGGCACTCTCTCTAGCAAACCCTTAGATCCACATCTAACCGCCACGACCACCATAGGGCTGGTGCCTGAAACCACCACCACCACGGTGACCTCCACCACGGTAGTTCGCGCCTCGGACACCAGCGTTCTTAGGGCCAGTGGGGGCGTTGATGGGGGCTTGACCACCACCAGCAGGGGGTTGGCTAGAGCCCTGGCGAGAACGGTTGTTCCTAAAGCCGCCGCGACCGCCTCCAGGACCAGAGGGGATGTTTGGCTGGGGCGCGTCGTCGTACATACCATCCCAGCTCTGAGGTCCTCCCTGAGCGTTACCGAAGCCGGCGGGGCCGGAGAGTTGCTGCTGGCGGCGTGCCTGCTGTTGTTCGTATTTTTGCTGTTCGAAAGCGAGTTGATCTTGAGCGGTGTAAGCTGGGCGTGGACCACCGGCACTCTGGCCACCTTGAGGATTCATCATACCCGGACCACCTTGACCTCCTGGGCCTCCACCACCTTGCATCTGTGCCATCTGCATCTGTTGCATTTGCTGCATCTGCATTGGGTTCATTCCACCTGGACCACCCATCATCTGGGGGTTCGGAGAGCCATTGCCGCGGTTCATACCTTGGTTCATCATCTGCTGTTGCATCTGCTGCATTTGCATCGGGTTCATACCACCCATGGCAGCCATGGGGTTACCGGGCATACCACCACCGGCTTGTTGCTGAGCGAGGGTTTGCTGCATGGACTGGAAGTACTGTTGCATTCGCTGCCAGTACTGAGCCATCATGGCAGGGGACATGGCGCTGTTGCCACCTTGGCCTTGCATGTTTCCACCGTTATTGTCATAATTGTTGCCGCCACCTTGGCCACCGTTACCGTTGTCGTTGAATTTGTTGAACTTGTTCCCGCGGCCGAACTTCTTGTTGCCGTCGCCTCCATCATCATCACGCATGTTACCACGAGGTTGAGCACGCTTGACTTCAATCTGCTTGCCGAGAATTTGTAGGGGACCGCGTAGAGTAGCGTCTACGGCTGCATCACCATCGAAAGTAACGAAGCCGAAACCTCGGGGTCGGCCAGTCTCCTTGTCCATCATAAGTGTGGCATCGACGACGCGACCAAACTGCTTGAAGAAGTTTGTAAAGTCTTCCTCAGTGGCTTCTTGGCTGACGCCACCGACAAAGATCTTACTCGTTCTTTCCTGCTCTTCACGAGGAATCGCACGCTTCGGATCGATCTGAACAATGTTAGTCAGTGCTTCGCATTTGAGCGGGTATAGACGTACAATCTTGCCATCAAGGTAATGCTCCTTGACCATGACAATGTTGACGCACTTGGGGTCCTTGAACGTGAGGAAGCCGAATCCTCGAGAACGTCCAGTAGCAGCATCACGCATGACGGTACATTCACTAACTTCACCGAACTGCGAGAAGTAGCCCTTGAGGGAGTCTGTTGCAAAGGGTTAGCAAGGTTGTGCGTTTTATATGTAATTGAGTGGACCAAGACATATTTACATACCTTCTGTAGTCTCCCAGTTCAGTCCGCCGATGAACATCTTGCTATGGCTGAAGTCAGTAAAACAATCATAAGTAGCGACACTATCAGTAAACTCAAAAGAGAAAAACGAGGCGCATCATATGGTATCCGTAGCTGTTCAGTTAGAAGTGCCTCCGCGTAGAGGCTGGTAGCGGTGTTGTTGTCGAAAACACCCTTGTCGAAATATGATGAGCTGGAAATATAGGCTCAACGCCCATGATCCCTCTATCGCACCTTCAGCCATCATCCTTAGAAATGGATATAGCAGAACACAATCCCAAGAGGTTTTTATCGTAACGAGGTCCATGTAGCCGAGTTCGTCAAATTGGTCGTGCTGCACATTTGACAACTAATCGATTGGTGAGGCGTCCGGAGTAGTTTTGCCAGTCGCAGTAATGTAGAGGACGCAATTCGTGTTCTATCGTGGATGATTGGAAACTGAGCTGAGAACATATGCGTTGATATCGTAAGGCTCCTTTCTTTGCAGCAAGGCGTCGCTCGCTCGAGGACCGTATGCGGTCGCAGACGGATGGCTAAGCGAACCCAACTCCTGCGCCGCATCCTACTCAGGACATGTCGACTTCGTGGCGTGCACCAATCATATCGACCAAGAATGCACTCCACGTACTCAAGTCCAAGTTTCGAGGTGCAAAAGTAGCCCTTGCAAAGGCACAGTTTGATTCGGATGAAACGTCTGTGTTCTGCTATGAATTCGAGTGTAGAAGTCTCAGACTATCTCACAGCTCGGTAGCTATCCTTTGCTTGCGTTGCTGGTACGCGCTATCAAGTACCTAGGTTTATATCGACATGAGGCGCTGCCAAAGTTGGGCAAGCCGCGATAGTCCCTGCGTAAGGCGCGTTGATGGTTGCTCTGAGCATCGCTGAGCGACTGACTTTTATTTTCCAGCTTCTTCCAACAACCAAAACTGGTGGCCCACTTCGCCATGCTTTGAGCGCCTCACCAGTGGACGACATGGACCACAATCTTTCGCAAGGTGTCTAGCTCCTAGGCTTTTATCCCAGACTCTGTGCCAACCATGGCCCCTGGTGCTTTGAAATGCGCGACAGACTGAAGTGTGCAGAGCTTGTCCTCTGATTGTGCTCGCAATGTATTCCATGAATAGTTCGCCTCTCTCATGTTGTCGAACGCTCTAGCACGATATCCTATGCGGCCGTTGATGGCGATGGTCCTGGCAGCGACGTGCTCTTGTCTTCAACTATAACATGCGATATACATGTTCTTATACCTTGTGATGCGCCTCTGGAAGATCATGATCAAACTGGACACTGCACGACTTACCCATCTTCTTTCACGTTGATTGGGCCATAGTTGTCATCATCTACGGGCGCATTGTCGTACGACTGGTCACCCCCAGCATTGTAGCCGGACTGGTCCATGTGCGAGTCCTGTTCGCCCCCAGCTTGAGCTGGCCAAGAAGATGCAGCATTATGACCATTGTCATGTGTAGAATCTTGAGGCGGCGCGCTCACGGGCTCGGCTTGGGTAGGTTCGGGTTCCGTCTTGGGGGCTGGGGCAGGTGCCGCTGCCGCTGCCGCGGGCTTGGACGTGGGCTCGTCATCGTAGCTAATGCGTTGTTAGTAGATTGTCGCAAACTGCGATCATTCTTTAGTCGCGCTGAGAGCACGTACAGATCATCAAAGATGTCGTCCTCGTAGTTTTCGTCGGCCATGTTGGAGTGTTAGAGAAGAGCTTGTTAGAGAAAACGTGCAAAAGAGAAAGACGTATGAGCGCGCGAAAGTGAGGTCGCGGTTAGTCAGGCGCGATCGTCGGGTTGAATGGAAGGAAGGGAGGTGACAGAAGGAAGAGCCTGACGCTTGAGTGAGGAGATGAGAGCAGAGCAATGGGCAGGCGCGCTAGCATCGGGCTTGGCGTGGCAGGCGCGACGGATACATGCACGAGCCCTACGACATACCAGCCATATGTGTACTGGAGACAATAGCGATATTCTTGGAAGTATATCACTTCGAAAGAGAACGAACACCTTTGGCGCCTAGGAAGGTGTCAGGTACGACCTAAAGGAAACGAGTTTCTTCGTGCTTGCCCGGTAGAGCCATCTGAAGCTTGGGTTCATAGCGGGGCCGCCTCGAGACACAGGACAAGCGTTCACTTGTTCAGAAATGGCCTCTAAGAAGCAGCAGCAGGTTTGTCCCCCCAATCTTGTGCGCAATTCCTTGTTTGCTAACAATCTGCCAGGAAATGGTCCAGGTCGGTTCGTGTCCTTCCAAACCACAAAGAGCGTCATAGTATCCGGGGTAGCTAACATATCGCTTCCCTGCATACAGACCGGTCCTCGTACGTTACTACAGTCCCGTCGCATATGGGTTTCGGGTACTGATATCTCATGCGCAGCTCGGCCTCTCCATTCTGGCGCACAACATCCAACTCCGCTAGCTCACCGCAAAACAAGAAGGTCATCGGCGCATCCTATTCGCATGCCGACATACACAACTTCAGTTCATTGTATGTTGCTTCAAGTGCTGTCATTATGAATACGACTAATTGCTAAAAGGAGCGTCTCTGGATCGAACTCGCGACCCCGAACCCCGCCATCGACCACCCACAGTCGCGAGTCAAGCGCTGCACCGAGCCGGTCCAGTAAGACCGTGTCACCCCGTCCCGCACGAGCAACGTACAGCTACTTCCTCAATGATACCCACCAAGATTGGAACGATGGCGACGAAGACGATCCCGACAACATGTTTGAGGATGACGAGGACGAGTTCGGGCTACCGAGCATCGCAAACATGCGGAGGAAGGGTCGGCGGAAACAACCATCCAAGGCAAAAGAAACAACCGGACATGTTAGTAGAGAAAGCCTGGGCTCAACAGCGTGGCGCGGTATAGACAGTGGTGACATTGCAGAGGAGCGAGGTATACCCAACTACCCAACCGCGAAGAAGATCGAAGGCAAGATCCTACGGCCACAGTATCAAGAGATACTTCGAGACCCCGCAAACTCGCTACATCTTATCTCACATGCTACCCCACCCCCAAACGCGTCAGCTAAACAGGTCGAGGAGCACTCCGCACGGATAACAAGAATCAACAAGTTCAAGAGGATATTGCAAGCGAGCACCATATCATTGTCAGACCTGCGAGACTCGGCATGGTCAGGTGTTCCGTCCGAAGTGCGCGCCATGACATGGCAGATCTTGTTGGGCTACCTACCGACTAGCAGTGAGAGGAGAGTCGCAACACTGGAGCGCAAGCGGAAAGAATACTTGGAGGGGGTGCGGCAGGCTTTCGAACGAGGTACATCTGGCAGTGCTAGCGCCGTCGCCTCCGGGATGGCAGGCGGTGCAGCCTATCCTTCGACGAATCGTGGGCGGGGACGTGGCTTGGACGAAGCTATATGGCATCAAATCAGCATTGACGTGCCTCGGACAAATCCACATCTTGAGCTCTACAGCTACGAAGCGACTCAACGATCCCTTGAGCGGATACTATACGTGTGGGCGATACGGCATCCTGCCTCGGGCTATGTACAGGGCATCAACGACCTGGTCACCCCATTCTGGCAGGTCTTCCTTGGTGCCTATATCTCAGATCCCGATATTGAATTCGGTATGGATCCTGGCCAGCTACCAAAACAAGTTTTGGACGCAGTCGAGGCAGATTCCTTTTGGTGTCTAACCAAGCTTCTTGACGGGATTCAAGATAACTACATCGCACATCAACCAGGTATCCAAAGACAAGTGGCAAGTCTAAGAGATCTTACTACGCGTATCGACGACCAGTTAGCGAGACATCTGCAGAATGAGGGTGTTGAGTTCATACAGTTCAGCTTTCGATGGATGAACTGTCTCCTGATGCGCGAGATATCTGTCAAGAACACGATAAGGATGTGGGACACGTACTTGGTAAGTCACGTAGCCACTCTTTTGGAGCGCATCACTGACTATTTATAGGCCGAAGAAGATGGTTTTTCGTCCTTTCACCTTTATGTCTGCGCCGCGTTTCTCGTCAAATGGTCCGATCAACTGCGAAAGATGGATTTCCAAGAGACGATGATGTTCCTACAATCGTTACCAACGCGACAGTGGACAGAGAAGGACATTGAGCTATTGTTAAGCGAGGCCTTTATTTGGCAAAGTCTTTTTAAAGGCAGTGGCGCACACTTGAAGAACACAAGCTCAAGAGGAAGTGGTGTAGGGATGGGACCGGATTTTTGATCCCGCTGATGTGGCATAGTAGGTATAACAATACCAAAGCGCATCGCCAGCGCCTACCCGAGACCTACCTCTTATCATGACGAGATATGAATAATGCATGCTTGGTTTAGAAGGGCGTGACATCCAGTATTCTACAGCATGCTGGTAATGAAGCTGAATGTTTATGCGAACAACGGTCGTGATTCCCGAACCATATCAATTACCGAGCCAGCGACTACGGAAGCTACCCCGCGCTTTACCCCACTACGCGTCACATAATCCTCGCTGTACATTCAGCCGAAGTATCAGGTCACCAGTCTGGCATGATGCACTCTTGTTCCTTCAAAGACAACACAACATCCAGGTCGAAGACCCGCAGGTTCACCACACACCAAAGATAATCCAGCTCAGCAAAAATCTGACATGTCACCACGCTCTCGCCCTCCATTTCAGGATCTTCCACTCGACAAGAATGGCCCTCCAGGAAACGCATGGGGCCTCTACGGCGCAGACGACGAACTCGGCGCTCTAAACATGATCACACCGTCTGTCGTCAAAGCAGCTGCCCAAGAAATACAAACAGGTGACCGCGTCTCGCTAGACTGGTATCTTAACTTACCTTCTTATCCTTCGTTCAACCGGCCACAATTCTCTTGGAAAATGATGAACAAAGAACATCCAGATGGCACGAAGAGAACAGTCAACGATGATCATCTAGACTTCAACACTCAAGGAAGTAGCCAGTGGGACGGATTCAGACATTACGGATATCAAAGCGCAAAGAGATACTACGGCGGGCGATCACAGCAAGATATCGAGTCGTCGGAAGTCATCGGCATCGATCGTGTGGCTAACTCTGGTGGTATCACTACTCGGGGTATCATCCTGGACTACCCGCGATATCTTGAAAGAAAAGGAAAGAAAGGAGTGTACGCACTAGATGCGAATAGTATTACAGCAGAGGAGTTGGAGGATATGCTCCAAGAAACAGGTATCAAGACGAGAGAAGGTGATATGTTATTGTTACGAACGGGATTCACTCGCGATTACGCCAAGCTAGGCGATGAAGAGAAGAGAGCTATCAGGGATAAGCCGCCGGCGTTCTTGGGCGTGCAGTCGGATAAGCAGTCAGTACAGTGGATTTGGGAAAATGGGTTTGTCGCTGTTGGTAAGGATGCCCATCTCACTTCACCACATCTTATCTCATCTTCATTGCCACTTACGCCACGTTACCCTATCTCTCTATCCAAGACCAACCAACCACGACGTGACATAGACTGATGAATGCGCAGCATCCGACGCTCCTTCTTTTGAAATGGCACCTCTAGTAGGTCCACACAACGCCCCAGGCGGTCTCTGGGCGGGTGAATCCTGGGAAAAGGATATGCAGGGCGGTGGATTATTACACCAGTGGTTGCTGGGTGGCTGGGGTGTCATGATAGGTGAGATGTTTGATCTGGAGCGGTTGTGTGAGAAGAGTGAGGAGTTAGGACGGAGGTCTTGCTTTGTTAGTAGTGTGCCGTTGAAGGTATGTATTACCGATTGCTGAGACTGAGGTGAGAGCTAATCCTTGTGTAGGTACCTGGTGGTGTTGCGAGTCCGCCAAATGCTGTCGCGATCTTCTAATCGAATGTCTCTTCTCGTAGGACACGATTTTGAGAAGAGGTGAGCTACGTAGCTTTGAGGATGAGAAGATGGAAATGGGCTGATGTGGTGTTGTGGTAAAAGGTTTGGCGTGGTACAGTGGTAGCAAAGCCAAGCCGGTGCTTACTCTCATCTCCTCTCCGCTCTCGGAGTTTCCTCCATTGGCAAATGCATGGAATTATAACGAAATTGAACTTTGCGAATCTTTACGGACCGATCTCTACCGTACTTTGAGTTGATACAGGCGCCTTCTCGATGCTCTTCCGCGCTCCTCACAATTGAACCTGGCACCGTCGTCCTACAACAACATCCGAGTCATCGCTTCCTCCCTTATGCAAATCTGTCCCCCCAATCATGAGTTCAGTTGTGAGTATCTCAGCATGCGGGGAACCCGTCGCCCCGAAACCGGGTAAGCAGGACGGGTGGTATATTAGCCAAGACCGTTCGTACCTCATTACAAACGACACCAACATCATCTCGAACGCTTGGAAAGTATATCGCTATGACCAACCTTAGCCGCTTCTTAGATCATCCGCCTCATTCACTACTTTTTTGTTTCAGCTCCATGGGTTCTCGACAGCCGAGGAGATTGGTGTGGCGTTTTTCTCTCCAACATACGCGTTTACTGTGTATGAATTGGATTAGGCGGTTTGCATGTCATCCATAGTATAAAGTTTGCGTGTCACGTACTACGTACAACGGCTGAGGGACTTGGATCTGTGATGTTCTGGTGAATCTTTTTAAGGCAGTCGTTCGGGTAAGAAATGCATATATACCGCCCACCCGCTCCTAACTTCTACACTCTACACAAACCAGACGTCCACCAACTTCCTATACCTGTCAACAGTCATCACCATCAAAATGAATTCTTTCATCACCATCATCACTCTCCTTACCGCATTCGCAGTTGCCACTCCGGCCGTGTCCTCTCAGACCAAGGCTTGCACGCGCCCTTGTTTCTCGGAAGCAACAGAGTGTGGTGAGGGCTGGGTATGTCATTGGCTTTTCAATCTAAATGACCATGCGCTAATGCATATTAGGAACCTGTTCACTCTGGTGTAAGTATTTTCGACTTCCTTGCGGCATATTCTATTGGACTAGTGTCTAAGCTGATATTGGTAGGAATGTTGGTTCTGCTGCGAAGTCTAGAGGGCGGTTGGATGAAGCTGCGAAGGACTTGAGGCATCATACGAGGCAGATGAGGAGATGCTCGCGAGCTAGGTGAAGCCAAAGAGGTTAATTACAGAGAATGACTATAGGATGATCTACTCATGCGACACAATCGGGATTAGTTCTAGATGAAAGCAGTAGTATGGCATCATAAGTACAGTCTCTTATAAATACTAGCGTATGATATCTTGACTTCCACTTTCTCCTACTAGCTCTTGCTTTCGTAGTGTCGGCCAAGTGGATTGTAACCGAACAGGTACCCGAAAAGTAGGCCACTCTCGTTTGTTGGTCGCATTTACTGTGTTTGTGAAGAATCTCCGAAGATGATTGTGCGTCAGCCATAAGCTGAGAAGTAGACCCAACACGTGGTTTCGCGCCGGTCTGGAGCACGTTCGTTCAGGCTGTGCCGATTCGAGAACAATGGTTCATCAAAGGGCGCTTTTAGCGGGTAGCGAGCGTATATAGCCCTCCATTCGTCCTTGTTACCTCTTCAATCTAACATCAAATTTTCTTCCTCAACTTAAAACACAAAAGACATAATCAGAATAGCCAACATGAAGACCTTCGTCGTCATTACCCTCCTCACGGCCCTCGCAGTTGCAGGGCCAACTCTGACCCGTCCTACGCAAGCACCGCCAACAGTGCTTGCAACTCCTGAGGCCAGAGTCTGCACGCGTATCTGCGCTTCAGAATCGTTTATTAATTGTGGTGAAGGATGGGTATGGTGATCGAGTTTCGCTACGAGATTGAATATTTGCTAATTAGTGGTAGGAACCTGCGCAACTCGGTGTAAGTAACAATTGGACTTCGGTATCGCAATAATTATTCTGAATACCGAGCTGATGTTTCCAGGATTGCTGGGCTTGCTGCCGGGTTTAAGAGTCTTTACGATGGGTGAACCTGGATGGTGGTCGAACAACGGTCTTGGACGATATTGAAGAGTTTATCGATGATACGGATACGCTGTCGTTACTTTAGAAGCGCGCAAGATTCTAGAAGTGTGCGGAGTAAATAATTTGGGGATGATTGCTTAGTGTGAAGGTTTACTCTTCGACAAATTTTATCTTGCCTAGCTTCAACACCTGCTCTTTCTAGGTCAGCGCCTGCTGATTGTATGCTACTGTTAGGTCATTCTTGCTCAAGCATTAAGAGAACGGTCTCTCGCAAATCCTATGTTGACCGTGTTCATGGTATGAAGTTTGACAACATGGTCGTGTGGAATCCAGCGAGTATTCCTGTGAATACGTCATGCTGCTAGGGCGCATTCTAGAAACATGACTCTGTTTCGTTGCAGAACCAAAAGTCGACTCAAGCATCATCTCTTGTATCTTCGAAGTAACCTCAAGATCTTCGCTAAACCGTATCAAGTCACGTTCCTCGTCATTATGAAGCGAGTTACTCAGCTAGCTACAAGATGAAAGAATCGGGCTGTGTTAAGTAACTTACCCAGGGAGTGCTGCATTCATGGGACTCATTCCATCAGCAGAAAAAACAAAAAAAAACATTCCGCAACTTCACTCCGATCATGTGACATTCGCATGAGTCTGTTGGGTTGTTCTACTTCCATGAGTTGGCATTGGAGGTGGTCTGTTAACTCCGCGACCCAATCACCTTTCGACCGCGCATCTCGTCCTAAGTCCGATCACGACGCACCAAAACAGCTGCCGAAAGAGATGCGCAATGTAGTGGCGCAGCTTCTACATGGAAAAGCCAAGATTGCGTAGACTTTTTGTCGCTCGAATTCCCAGTCGGTTGTGGTGTCCTTCTTACGCAGGAATCGTCCGTTGTGCAACGGACCGATCGAAGCACCGGCATTGCTCGTATGGGGAAACTTGCTCCAACAGCGTACCTACCTATTTAGGTAACATCAGGATATATATCTCTTGCAAAGTCGCCAGTACATGCTACAAAAATTCTCAACTTCCTCTTAACGGTGTCACTGTCTTCACTGTCTCCAGTCTCTCCAATAATCATACTCATCTCGTTCATCGTTAGTCATTGTATTCAAGATGGGCTCCCAATTCAGTCAAATGTTCCCACCCGCAGCCAAATTCACCGAATCTTCGCTTCCCAACCTGTACGGAAAAGTCTATGTTGTGACAGGTGCTTCAGCAGGCGTAGGTAAAGAACTCTCCCGCCTCCTCTACTCCTGCAACGGTACCGTATATGTAGCGGCCCGATCCTCTGAGAAAGCCTCTACAGCGATATCCTGGATCAAAGAAGCTTGCCCGCAATCCAAGGGCACATTGCACTATCTCCATCTTGATCTCGACGATCTCCATGGGATCAAAGCGTCTGCAGAGAGCTTTCTCACAAAGGAAACCCGATTAGACGTCCTGTTCAACAATGCAGGCGTTATGAGACCACCGAAGGGCACAACAACGAAACAAGGATACGAACTGCAGCTTGGAACAAATTGCGTCGCGCCCTTTCTCTTCACCAAGTTACTCACGCCCATACTACTTGAGACAGCGAAGAAAGAGCCAGAAGGCAGTGTGAGGGTAGTTTGGGTGAGCTCATCAGCTGCGCATGTCATCGCGCCCGCTGGTGGTGTGGACATGAACAACTTGGATTATAAGACAGATGTCAGTCAGATGACCAAATACGGGATTAGCAAAGCGGGAAATGTGTTTCATGCGATGGAGTTCCAGAGACGGTACCGAAAGCAGGGGGTTGTTAGCGTGGTAATTCACCTTCTTCTCTTTCCTCTGAACTACCCTGCTAACATGCGGAATGATAGGCGCTTAACCCCGGTAACCTCAAATCTGATTTGCAGCGCCATGTACCTGCACTCCAACTTTTCCTCATTAACATGATCTTGCATCCGCCTGTGAATGGCGCGTACACTGAGCTGTTCGCTGGCCTCGCGCCTGATGTTGCGAATCTCAATACGAGTGACTGGGTCGTGCCATTCGGCAGGGTTATGCAGGTGAGGAAGGACTATTATTCCGAAGCTGGTAAGAAGACTGCGAGCGCGTTTTGGGAGTGGAGTGAGAAGCAGGTGGAACAATACGTTTGAAGATTTCAGACCTGTGTGGCCGAGGAGAGGTTTCCTTTGTCCTTTCTCGAGATTATCTGGCGGGTATGGGTGCGTATGTCAGCCGTGCGGTGTTTGTGTAACTAGTGAAGTGTACTTTGCATGTTCTTATCGTTATGGGTGGAAATCCGACAATACGACATTTATATGTGCCTGGTTCTTCCACATACGACCATAGGACACTGACCGAAAACTAATTGTCCCTCGCGATCTGTCTGAGGTTACGGTGTCGTTCCGAGGTCAATTTACTGCTTCCGGAAACGCAACTCTGTCACCTTGGCACCCCACCACTACAGCCATAAATGACTATTAACGACCACATGTACTCCTGAGACCTGTCGTCTAGATGTGCGCATGTTCGCGTACTGCGCACATCTGGGGCCTTCTAGAGCTTGGTACTAGCTAAGCCTTGATATGCCGGTCGTGGACCAGGAACTTGAATGCCTCCTCTTCCCGCCCATCGGAAGAAAGGTTTGTAATGCTAGTGGCTTGATTGGTACGCGTGTTGGGAAGAGTGGAGATGTCTCCACACCCCGCAACTCCAACACCGGCGCTTCTCGTCACTCCCGACAACGCTTATATCGCGCGCAGTTGCCTTTCTGCCTTTTCAAAAACATGGGCTAGTTTCCTTAGAGCTCACAAGCATCGTCGTACGTTCGGACTCGTGCTTAGCATACACATGCTAACACCGATGGGGTTACAAAGGCCTGGAGCAACTTGATAAGAGCGCGATGGCCGAGCACGGCTTCTACCCCATGCTCCCGAGAAGAGTTTAGCGACATGGAGCCGGCGTGGACGGAAAACGGGCGACGTCCTAGGTTGGCAGGGGTAACTTGGCCGGAGCTCGTGGGCTAGCGTTCGAAGCGATAGCTATAGGACAGACTGAGACGGCAACATAGTGCAGTATTGAGACTTACACGCGAACCGACAAGGAAGTGATCTTGGCTTTCAACTGCTGAGACTGGTCTCTAAGATGTTTATCGACCACGTCTTTACTCCTCACTTCTCGTGAATATAGATAAGAATGTCCACTCGGCTTATCCTACAAGTTTTGGCGGTTTCATTCATGCTCGATAAGCACGTACTCTACGAGTCGCCGTATAACACCATGTCTAATCAGTCGCGCTACAGACCGGGCCGGTGCAATGCTTATCTGGAGCAAACAAGGGGCACCACCTCCCAGTCACCTTGCCGGTCGATATTCTTGAGCACTCAAGAGTCCTGCATAAAGTGAACGCGTATCATGAACGATGTTCAGTAAAACTTTTGTCATGGATTACTCGCAAACTAAAGACACCAAAGACGCCAAAGTACATGACAAGGAGAATGATGGTGGTGAGGACATTGCGATAGGATCGCAGGAAGAAGTAATCGATTACGACTTTTTGCGATCATGGAAATGGTCGACTTTATATCGGAGCGTGCTGTTCCAGATGGTGATGTTCGGGGCGTAAGTAATCCTCTCAGAGACTACCATCGGGATGCTGAACATGGTCAAGGCTTTCGTTGGTTGGCCCAGCTATGGGTGATGCTATATCCAATCTAGGAGGAGGCGGTCTGTCTACACCATGGCTAGCGAATCTTGCAAATTCGTTGAGCTACGCCATGGGCTTCATCAGTACTATCCTCGGAGGCCCCATCATCAACAGGATAGGAATCAAATGGGCGTGCTTCATTGCGGCTCTTACGATGCCCCTTCAAGGATCTGCGTACTATGTAAACGCTAAATTCGGCATCGACTGGTATCTCATAGCATCCAATGTACTATCATCACTCATTCATACAAGGGAAACATACTGACGGGACTAGGTTATCAATGGTCTAGCAGGCGGGTTTCTTTATGTCGGTGAAACGACGGCCATGTTATGCTACCCAAGGCCAGAAGAAAAGGGGCTATACCTTGGTAAGCATCTGCGTGCATCCTGAAGAATGATCGTTGTAATAACCTACGGCAGGCATCTGGTCGGCTATGCGAAGCTCCGGAAGCTTGATCGGTGGCGCGATAAACTTTTCTACAAACTCGGATAGAGCGTCTGCTGGAGGCATTGCGTGGTCGACATATCTGGTCTTTGTTGCATTCGGTACGTCACAGATACCTAGGCATCTGCTCTGGGTGCACAGTTATTGACAGATAGTAGAATGTACTGGAGTTCTTTGGGCACTGTTGTTGTCCCCTACACCCCGAGTGCGTCGTCGCGATGGCAGCAAAGTCGCCATGTCGGGGAGGGTCACTTGGAAGCAAGAATTCGTTGCTCTGTGGAGTTATTTACAAAGCAATAAGGTCAGGAATGAATCAGTCTCCAAAATTTGGAAAGCACCTAACACGATGCCAGGTCTGGTTGATCTTTCTGCCCTCGTTCTACTCTTTCTTTTACGGAGGGACAATGGGTACCTATCTCTCGCTACACTTTTCGGTCCGCGCACGCGCTCTTTCATCCTTTCTTATTCGTATGTATCGACTCTGGGTCCCGCCAACTATATGCTGACTAGTACAGCCGCCATTACCATTCCGTCGGTCGTCGTATTCGGCAAACTTCTAGACAGCCAGCGGTGGTCCCAACGGCCCAAGGCATGGGCTGCATTCTCGCTGTGGATTCTGCCACAAACTGGTTGTTTCATCTGGGTCGCTTTTGAGTACCACTACCTCGGCGATAAGTCGGCGCTGGATTACGGCTCGTAAGTTATCCCGCAGAGAGGCAGGTTCCAGTGTGACTGAAACTGATTTGAATAACAGAGAATCTGGAAGATGGGCAAGGGCATACGTGCCGTACCTTATCGTCTTCGTGAGCGGCTACTGGACGCAATTGACACTATACTGGATTCTTGGCACATTCTCCAACGACATGGGTGATTCTTCACGGGTAGGAGGCTTGTTTCGCGCGTTTGAGACGGCGGGCCAGGCAGTCTCCTATGGTCTGAGCTCTGCAAGTGGCATCGCTCCTGTGGTTCCGATCTATGTGAACTGTGGTTTGCTGGTTCTTACTGTGCCTAGTATGATCATGTTGATCACTAGGATGCCCAGGAAGCCCTTGAGTAATGTCATCGCTGAATGAAATTTGTATCGTGCGCGATGGGTTTTCACGGAAAGATTGTATACGCGCATGTTGCTGGAGTTTGGGAAAGCGTCTTCGAGGTCCCACCGCAGATAGCAACTATCAAGTCATTCAAGAACATCTATCATGACACATGTTGTGCTCTCATTGCAATACTGTATTCTGCTAATCGAACTGTTTTTCTATACTTGTCCGCATCGCTCCTCTTCTAGCACGCGAACAGCCATTGCTGATGGATATTGTCCAATAGAATTGCCTGATCACCTTGCATCTGATGCACCGTTGTTGGCGAAAGATAAGACTGAAGGGCTTTTGCAGGAGTTCAGATGTTGTCACACAAAAACAAAGCTTCTAAGCCGGATCGTACTGTACTGAACGGGTGTTCGCTTGCTGGCGGCAAAGTCTACTGAGTCCTTGTCGGTGACCGGCCCGGTGACCGGACCGGTCGCAATTGCCTAACGATCACCGCCTTGCGCAGCCACTTGAAGCCAAGGACTAAAGTTCCTGGCTTGCGTATCTTATCCGTCTGATTAAGGTGCGTGAGTTCCCGGGTTGGGTGCAGCAGAAGCGCACCTGCCTTGAGAATGACTAAGCGTGAGTACCTTAATAGCCCACCTTGCACTTGGACAGCCCCGTGAAACTACCACAAATACATGAACATGATTCAAAACCTACACCTCCAACATGTCTTTTCCTAGTACTGACGTTAAACCTTTCCCGGTGGCGGATGCTGTTCCCTCCTATTGGAGGAAACAAGTCGGGCCCATCGACAACCATCGCAGCACTGAACATCTTCCCGCGCAGGCTGGTGTTGTAATCATTGGTGCGGGATATGCTGGAGCATCGATTTTGCATCACATAATCGAAGAGTGTATGCGTTGCGACCGCCCAATTCCATCAATACTTATCCTTGAGGCACGTGAGGCCTGCTCTGGCGCCACCGGACGTAATGGTACGTATCATATGCTCTTGAGATCCAGTTTCAATCTCGCACGTACTGAGTCTGAGGGGTTAGGCGGTCATTTAAAACCAGATCCTTTGTCAAGAGCGGCCAGCGTACTGGAGACGCACGGGAAAGCGGTCGCGGAGCACGTGGCTACATTCGAGGCTCGCCAGGTCGACGCAATCAAAGAACTTGTTCGGCGTGAACATTGTGATTGTGACTTCGAAGAGACCAGGGTTACAGACGTCTGCTTTTATGAAGCAGGCCGCGATAAAATCAGAGCTGACATCGCGAAAATCGCTAAAGCGGATATCTCAACTGCGAAAGGGATAAAGTTTACTTCGGGCAGCGAAGCAGAAGAGGTGTGTAAGGTCTGGAGATGAAAATCTTGAAATGCTTCGTGGAATCATCTTTTTGGAGCGATCTGACCAAGCCCATAGGTTTCTGGCGTTTGGGGTGCAAAATCTTGCCATACATATAATGCCGCTCGCCTGTGGCCTTACCGACTTGTGGCACACTTGCTAGAAAAAGCGGTGTCTATGGGCGTCAACTTGCAAACAAATACCCCAGTATCGTCCGTCTCGGCAGCCGATGAAAGCACAAAAGATCGTTGGGTCGTGAACACATCGCGTGGCTCCGTCGAGACCAGCACTCTCGTTTATGCTACGAACGGATACACGTCTGCTCTCGTACCGGAGATGAAGGAAAAAGTCGTCCCAGTGAGAGGCATAGTAGCACGCTTGGCGGGCGAGAACGCACCAAAGATGACTGATAGTTATATGATGCGGTTTTCCGACTACGAGTACGACTATATGATTCCTCGACCGGACGGAAGTATCGTCGTTGGTGGCGGAAGGCGCGACTACTACAAAGACTTGGACGAATGGTTTGATGTATCCGACGACAGCAGACTGATGGATGGCGCGCGGAATTACTTTGACGGCTACATGCAACGGCATTTCCGTGGATGGGAGAACAGCGATGTACGCACAGAAGATGTCTGGACTGGAAGTAAGTGTCATCTGCACCAGCGCCCATTATTGAATGTTTCAGAACTGACTGATCTTCTTCCGTGTCAGTTATGGGCTATTCTAACGACGGGTTCCCTTATGTTGGACCAATTTGCGGAAAACCCGGCCAGTATATGTGTGCAGGATTCAGTGGGCACGGTATGCCGCAGATCTTCTTCTGCGCAAAAGCCGTCGCTTCCATGGTCATCACGGGCGATGCAGATGATGTGGATCTCCCTGTGCCGTACCGCATCACCAGGAGTAGATGGTATCAACCCAAAGAACATGTGTCTCTCAAGATGTGGCAACAGATTGCGGAAAGCCAGCCTGCTCAAGCACGGTTGTGACGATGAAATAGAGCGAAGAGTTTGGACCTAGATCGTCCACTTTTGCAATGCGAAATTATCCACTGATTTTCACACGCACTTCGTTAGCCAAAAGAGTTAACCGAACACTCTTTATCGTTCATTTATTGGCGATTCTAGCGTGTGCAGAACGTCATTTCGGTAGCCATGAAAGGCTCTCGAAGAACTCCCTCTCTGTGTTACCATGGTCATCAAAGTTCGAGGTGAAGAACGCCACGCTTCCATCCGAGTTGAGTAGATCGAAATCGAACGGATATCCATCAAGAGATATGTCGCTTGGCATGCTATCCACTGTTGCATCGGCTCTGTTTGGTGTCACCCTTGGGCCTTGCACCGTCGCTGCTTGTGCATTTGCATGTTCGGATGCTAAAGACCCAAAACGAGGGTTCGGGGACCTTTCCGCTTTCTTGTACCAGTTGAGAAGACCGTTGTAGCCCTCTTCAGCCGGATCGTTGGCTTCCGTGGCCACAGGTTTACTTGGTAATGGATTGAACACGTTAAGTCGATGCAGCGCCGCTTCCAGTGTCTCTAGGAGCGACACTTCTGAACGCGCAGAATCGCCCGCAGAAGCCATTTCTCTTATCGCTTGCAGACCTACTTGTAGGGTGCTTGCGAACTCGTTCGTACGGTAACATATGCTATAGGCGATCAAGACCAGCAAGGACGCGCGGCAGGAACTATACTCGGCATAGGACGACTTTGCAAGGCCCATATTGCCCGTCTGCATGATTTGGCATATACTGATAACTTCCTTCGCAGCCGCAACGCAGTCATGGACCAAGAAGTCCCACTGTGAGTGGGACTCTGCTGCTTTCCTCCGGCGTACTTCTGGGGATGCGGCATTGCCGTCATTGGTCCGCGCGTGACGGTGCGCAAGGATGAAGGGTCGTCCGATGAACATGTGCAACAGGCAACACTCCAGTCGAGTATGAATTAACGCGCGGTTTTTTGGTAGCTCTTTCTGGTGGTATGGGGTTGGCAATAATGCACCCCCATGAGGAGGTGACCAAGGCCCTCGCAAATCTGCCTTCATGCGCTTGATACGGTTCAGGATCGCCCCGACTTCGGCGTTTGCACATTTTCGGAGACATGATCTGGCAAGGTATAGTCAGTTGATTGTCTTCTGTTTCTGTGTATTTAGAAAGTCTCAATCTGGACTTACATTTCGTGGAGGAATGCTTCAGCATGCCTTGTGAGCTTGATTGATTCCAAGAGACCTTGAGGATAGAAAGAGTCATCGTTCATAAGGTGTGCTCCAGAGCTCTGAGGTAGGTCTGCATCGATATCGGATTGTACTATGGATATCGGGCGGCCGTGGTATATACCAATCTTTCTAGTAGGTCGAATTCGTCAGCACGGGAATGATGTGGTATCAGAGAGTCAAGAACCGACGAACCTTTCCATGCAGTACACTGTCCACCAAATACGACGCCTGATCTCCTTGGTTCTCGGGTCGAGGACGTTGCGCGAAACCTTTCGATGCATTCCGTTCTGTATGGCCACCTTGATAGCTAAGTTTAGATAGATGTAACTCAGCCCAGATGCATCAATGGGTAAGGAATATAGGCCGAGAAGCAAGAGTACCTGGACGCTGAGCAGCGAACCAGCATGGATGACTTCCGAAAGTAGCTTTGCCACTTGACGGTAAAAGCCGGATCCAATTTCGAGCTCCCAACTGCTTTGAACTTCAGAGTCTGTTGCAGTGCCCGTGCTGGAAGTCTTATGACGATCTGGCGATTCTAAATGGACATATTGGGTTCCGACAGCTAGCACCATCAGTACTACACATATTGCAGTAACATCCTTGGAGCGTAGCGAAACGGGTTTAGTGTATATGTTGTCTAGGGTTTCATCAAACCAGCATCGGTCTACATAGTAGTAGACGCTGGTGGCATGATTGAAGAAGACATTGGTCAAGAAGGTGGCAACAGGACGGGGTGGCATAACAGCAAGGATGTCCGAGATGGAAGTTGAAGTTGGATCTGCCTCACCAACGCGAATGAAATCCGGTACTCGCGTTACGTTTTCTAAATTCTGACAGAGATGGTGAGCAAACAGGAACAGACTAGGCTAGCCGCACATACCTGAACATTGGCTTTGGCCATAAGTTCGTCTATATTGCGCTTGATGTGCATGGAAAAGTTCCAATGGGAGAACTCGCCTGAGTAATCTGCACAGCGACAAAAGGTCTCGTCAGTGTGCTTGAGGGACAACGAAGAGGTTCAAGAAGCACGTACGGACTGTCGTGCCGTCTACTCGGTCAATGGTACAATCCTCGTCTCCAATATCAGGGCTGTCAGACACTTGGACATTCCCCGAAGGTTCGATAGACTCGGAGATGATCTCGTTCTGGTCGCGTGGTGGTGTCGGCGAAGACAGGGAATCGCACATGCGTTGTAGAGAAACGGTATCCATGGCGAGATTGGGAAATTGGTGTTTGACTATGAATTCCATATATCGCATGCGGTCCATCAGCTCACCGAGCGAGTCAGGAAGGCCCGGTCCTCGTTTGTCCACTGCAGCAGGCGCAACATTGTATCTACACGGTCGGCGCAGATGGCGACAGCGCCTACACGGTGTACCATCCTCACATTTCTCTTTGAGACGGCGACACTCATCACACCTATGCGATGCTTGTCAGCCAAGACTATGCCTCGCGTTCTTCGGCGAGACAGTGGTGGGTCTTACGCGCGAACTGCTCGTTGTCGCTCCTCTGCCGCTAGATGACGCTTCTTGGTGGGTCTTGGAGGCTCGACTTCCATAGCTCGAATTGAACAAAACAAGACTAGGTATGAGCTGGAGGGATTGGGTTGGCGGAAGGGTTCTGAGCATACGTCGTGGACTCACAGCTGTCAAGGACACCCACCTATTGAAGCGCGAGCGATAAGACAGCTGAATGACGCGCAATGCAGCGACGTTGAAGCCGTCCAGCTTCCTGCAGGGCGCTCCGCACAAGGCTTATCCATTATGGGTTAGTAGTAGCCCCGGCTTATCACAAACACGCGATACACCGGCTAATTCGCATCACAAGAGATAATGGCGAACATCGGGCAAAATGCTGGAGAGGAATAAGAAAGGGCATGTGGAAATGAACATCCTTTACTGATGTCATTGAGACTTATCTACAATCTCCTGCGCCATTTCCATGAGACCTCCAGCTACCACCTCTAACTTCACGTCACTAAAAACGTCGAGACAAGCTTCCTTCTCGTACACCGAGCTCCACGCTCCACGAAAACCGACTTTTGTGGCTGCTGCGACATCCCACATGTGCGCGGCAGCGAACCATTTCACATCGTTTGCTCCAAGTCGTTTCCATACAGCCTGATAGGCGGGGAGAGCGGGTTTAGCCACGCCTGTATTGTCGCAACTAATGAAATTCTCCAGCGGCATGTCTACACCGGCGTGCTCGAAATAGCCTCTGACCCGTTGCACATCTCCGGTGGTGAAGCACCAGACTGTAAAGCCGTTGTCGCGCAGCAACTGGAACGTCTCCCGACAGCCAGGTCGCAGCTGTAAAGCGGAATAGCCTTCGATGCACTGTTCCCGCTCCTCTTCAGTAGCTATAGCCCGAGGATCGGCGATGCCACAAAGACAGAGAGTCCGGTAGAATAGTCCTCGGAGAATGTCCTTGTAAGGCTTGTAGCTTTCGGAGATGGACAAGAAGGTGAATTCCAGCTCAGCAGCTGTCTGCCAGGTGTACCCGAAGTGTTGCGGTGTTACGTAATGATGGCGAAGTTTTGCACCCAAGACTGAGTCTATGCGTTCGTAGTAGGCGTCGAATGATACGCAGGTGCCGACGACGTCGAAAACTACGTGCTTGAGAGGCTGTGTCATTCTGACTTTCAGTGTGGTATGTAGTAGCTAAGATCAAGGAGTTCGACAGCGGTAGATGCAAGATATGTTGACATGGCATGAGTGACAGACCTGTGGAGAACAGACCCCTGCATCAAGCTCGGTATTCTAATGTCTCGTTATGGTGAGTAGCGGTACTAGTGGATGATAGAAGACCGGCCCGGTCTGATATGACTGCCGCAGCGCTCGGGCCACGTAGTTATCGATCGTGACCGGAGCTCACCCGGTTCTGCCATTGACACATAGGTACCTAGGTACGATAACGATGAGCAGTAGTTTCAGCGAACTCCGGACCGGTATCATCGTTTCTCAAGCTCTAACTTCCTAAGTTGAAGTGATAAGCTCGATGACCGGGCCATGTAGCCGGTCGGTTTTCAAAAGAGCGGTGTTCGATTGCCGATATGAAAACGTATACGGTGTGGATGGCCATGCGAAACGTGCTCTCTGTTCGCTCGTAGAAAGTAATCTGTTATTCTCAATTCCTCGACATGGTTTTACCAGTTATCAACCCTACCAAATCCTATTGGATTGAGGCTGCGAATTCGCCATTGCGCAACTTCCGCTCTAGCGAAGCGTTACCAGAGGAGACCGATGTGGCAATCATCGGCGGTGGTTACGCCGGCGCATCGACAGCTTACTGGATCAATAAAGTTTGTGACCGCACCAAAACGACTTGTCCATTCACCAACTCTGACAGGTGATTAGTACACAGAGAATGCTTCAAGACAGCCTCACGTGACTCTCCTAGAAGCTCGTGAAATTTGCGGAGCTGCCACCGGACGCAATGGTAATAGTACTTGTATCTCGTCCCTTGGAGAAACATCTAACAACGAATAGGAGGACAATTGAGGCCGCATGCTTATTCTCGTTATGTGAAATGGTCGAATCGATTTGGCCCTAATGGTGCCATGGAGCTTATCGAACATGAGATGGCTCATTTGCCGGCATTTAAGAATTTAACTGAGGAAGAAGGTATCGCGGAAGAGGTCTGTCTCAAGTTCGGAGAAACGTTCGATGCTGCCATGACCGATGAGGCCTGGACAAGGCTCAAGGGCGCGCTTGATGCCATGCGGAGGGATCATGGTGACGATCATGAGATCGTCAAAGTATGCAGAGTGATCGAAGATGCACACGAAGCGGAAGAGTTTACACAGATGAAGGGTGCTCTTGCTGCAGTGGTCCATCCTGCAGGGCAAATGTCGGTTCTTCTCAACTGTACTACTCTCTCACGCAGACTTACTAACGTCGTCTCAGATGGCCATACAAATTGGTGCACGCACTTTTGCGCATCGTTCTGCAGAAAGGCAATCTCAATCTGCAAGCTCACACCCCAGTCACGGATGTTTCAGCGCGAGACGCCGAGGGCTGGATCACGGTCAAGACTGAGCGTGGAACCATTCGTGCCAAATCAGTCGTCCACACGACAAACAGATGGGCTTCTCATCTTCTTCCTGAGTTCAGTAATCTTATACTGCCCGACAGAGGAACTATTGCGGCACTAAAAGCGCCTCCGGGATTCATAAAGCATACCGGTGCCCAGCATTGGGATTCAGTTGTCAACGTGAGGCTTACATATGCTCCCTTCACAATCGATCACCTGCTAACAAAGACAGAACTATCATCTCCAACTCCCTCCGCCGTACAACACTATCATCATTGGAGGAGCAAGGCAACTTCTCGTCCACAAGCCGGAAGATTGCTTTCCTAGCGATAAAAACGATCAGCAGATTGCTGGAGCAGCTGCATTCTACGAATCTTGGGGTCCCTCAGATGTTATAGGCTCGCCGGATGCAGTTCCAGCGGAACTCAGCAAGGAAGCCAACGAAGGCGGCTGCTGGACTGGAAGTAAGAGAACGCCATGTCGGTGAACTTGACGTACAGTTGGCTGACTAAACTGTAGTTCAAACCGAATCTGCAGATGATTTTCCATTTGTTGGTACGGTGCCACAGCGGCCGGGCCATTTCATTGCGGCCGGATTCGCGGGACACGGTAAGTCTACTCCATTGCTGAGAATTGCAGATAGGCTAATGAGTAAAGGTATGCCTCGCGTGCTGGGTTCGGCTGCTCACGTCACGCCTCTTGTACTAGAGTCGCTTGGTGTTAAATACAGCCAGCCCCTTGTTGCCGCATCATTTCCTCCACTGCCTCAACCGTTCCGCACTACCGCTGAACGGATTGAAAGACTCCAGGATACGAATCTCAGCGTGCTCGCTGAGGAGTACAAGCAGAGCTGTGGAGAAAGTGCGAAGAAGCCATTTTGCAATACCGCGAGGGTCATGTCTGTGCTTGCGAACCCGTCTTCCTGGGATGGTGGCGACCAGCAGATCATGGCCCAGCCATGATGTGAACGTGTGTGGTTTGGACTGAGACGAGAGTACCAGAGAAAGCATTATAGAAATACCATACTTATCTACATTGTGAAGCAGGGCGCAAACACCAGATGTACGTGTACAGCTTCTTAGCCTCTTTGGCAATGATTGTCTTTCTTTTTGTTCTACGTTCAACCCAACTGATGTTGCCACAATCTCTGATCAATCCACTAATGACTACGTCTCAGCCACCGTCCCCGATGGGGCGCTGGGACGATCTCGTTGGATGCACTTTCTGCTGCAGTTTTCCGCAGTCTATGACACGACAATTAGCTGTTTCTTCCACATACGACCATAGGACACTGAGAATTAGGCTTCCCGTCCGCTCAGCCATATACAAGCAGTGTACCGGCGGATTAGTAGTTAGGTGGGTGACCACTAGCGAATTCCCGCTGTTGTATGTTTTTGCCTTTTTGAAGTAATGTTGTAGAGCTTCAGCGACGACGTGCTTGGGTCTTTGGAGCGTGACAGAGTGTGCTTACCTTTTGCCTCGGCTCTGTGCACGTTTGTACAAGATCTAGACCCACTCTGACGTAGTGAATGCCTTGCTATGATATCGATGGGATGTCCGATGTCTCAAGCGCTGGGAATGCCTCATAGTGTTGTCGCTGTATCGAAAGACATTGTTCACTTCCACTTCCCTTGGGATAGATGATTCGTTGGATGAAGGACATTCGTATATACATTCTATCGTTCAATCATACGTCAAGCGTTATATCTAGTGGCCCTTGTCGTCAGGCATCTACTTCTTCTTTGGGACCATGGACAAAAGAGTGTCGGCGTCTCTGATTCCAGCCAACTGACCCTGCTGCACGCGCTTAACAGTAAGCGCGGCGATGAGGGCGGCACCGACACCAGAACCGTCCTCAGCGGGGAGGACCTCGACAGGGTCGCCCTTGCCCTTGCCATACTTGTTCGGCCAGCCCATAATTTCCTTGAGCGCCTGAGCTTGGCGGACCTTGAAGTGTGGGTACTTTGTGAAGACAGAGCCATCAGCACCGACGTGAACTTCATCCCACTTCTTGTGCTTGCAGATGGCGGAGACACCGCATGCGGTAAGACGGGCAGCACGCGTACCGATGAGTTCGGCGAGGCGGCGGATGAGCTCAAGTTCGGGCTTGGTGCAATCGAGGCCGAGCTTCTCCTGGAAGAGATCGTGTGTGTCTTGCAAGTTCTCGAATCTGTCCTCCTCAATTGAAGACAGGAAACCTGCGTCAAGCGAGTAAGGCTTGTCGAGCTTGCTAGCGTTTTGGCCTTCGAACATGTGGCATTCGTTACCCTTGTGTAGATCCTGGAGAACCAAACGGAAGATCTCGCCAAGGTACAAACCAGCGACCATCTTCTCGAAAGATTGCTGACCAGGTCGTGGTGACTCCTTGTCAACAATGACATCGTACTTTGTCCTTGGGAGGACCTGGTGCTCGTTGTCAAAGGCTCCCCACTCGCAGTTGATGGCCATGGGCAGCTTGGGGTCAAGGTTCATGTGCTTCAACTTGGGGATGGCGCCACACTCCTCCATGTAGGCAGCGTTGCAGCCGGTACCGAAAATGCAGCCAATCTTGATGCTCGTGTTGGTGTAGGCAGAAGCGATCATGGTACCGGTCGTGTCGTTGACCAGAGCGGCAAGCTTGATGGGTACACCACGCTCTTCGAGAGCGGCCTTGAAGCCTGGTACGACGTCGACACCCTCCATGCCGGCTACATCGAAGCCCTTGGTCCACCGCTGGAGAACTCCGTGGTCGATGGCGTCTTGCGAGACGGGGTATGAGAAGGTGAAACCGAGGGGCAGATGGTCGAGCTGCTCGTTTTCGTGGTGGTATTCGATGAACTGCTGAAGACAGTCGGCGACGTAGCCCCAGAGCTCGTCGGCGGTTCCGGTCTTCAACTCTTCGGGCATGCGGTACTTTGATTGTATGATCTCGAACTCGCCCTTCTCTTCTGTCAGGGTAACCTCGCAGACACGCAGGTTGGTACCGCCCATGTCGAGGGCGAGGTAGCTGCCGGTTTCGTTGCCATCGGGGAAGGCCATACACCAGGTGGGAATCATGGGCTACGGGGGGTCAGCGCGTTTCTGAGAGAGGGCATAGCGAGCTGCAACTCACAATGCTTCCGCCCTGTTCCGACAAGCCCTTCTCGAGTTCGCCGACGAAGTGATCCGAAATCTTCTTCAGCTTGTCTGTGGGAACGACAAACATGTCTTCCAGCTTGTCGATCTGCTCCTTCAGATCCTTGGGCATGTCCGCCATGGAACCTAGCACAATGTTATCCCATCTATCCTTGCGTGCGATGACAAGACTCGAGCATACCCCTGCGGGAGGGCGGTTTCCTTGCGCCTAGTAGCACCATGATTGCGGTTGTGAGGGTGGTTTAGGTGAGGTTGTTGGTGTTATCGCGAAAGAGACGGCGGTGTTTCTGAGAACGAGAGTTCAGGACGAGAGGTGGGGACCCTGACGTAGAGTGTTAGTCTCTGAATGACCGAGGAGCCTTGTGGGCTGGCTAGACCGCAACGAAACAGCTCAATGGTCATGCACAGCGGTCAATCCCACTTTTGTATACGATATTTGCTTCTCCACCCGCCCAGGTTGCTTTTGGAAGTGCTATGGGGGGACATCGGCTTACCGAGATAGTGTAGTGATGCAAGCCCGCTGTGCTGTCTGCCAATGGCTCGCGACGTTGCTCAGTAAGCGGTGTACACGTCGGAAAAAAGCGTAGAGTGCAATGGGAAAGAGCTTGGATGTTGATTGTGATAGATAGCCCAAGGGAGCGGATGCGCAAACGAGGGGCACAAGCGTAAAATCCATAGCTGTTGAGCTGGGCCCCCGCCCCGCCATCCCACGCGCCGTCGCAGGAGACGACTCCGGCGGCTTTTGTTGCCATGACGCACCTCTAACGTGGCCCTGGCCCGGCCTGCACAAGGCTGACGCTCCCGCCTCGATGCCCCTCGCTTGTACTAGCCCGCTTCGCCCAACCACCGGGCCCGATTACTCATCACGACAAAGCTCACTCCTCCACGCACTTCTCAAACTCAACCATCGCTTCATTAGGCATTAAACACTACATATGTACAAGAATCAAATTTCCCTCGTCAGCTCCAACTACGAAGCTGTGCAAGCCGCCGCACCCTTGGCAGTCTTCGTCGCCCAGTTGAGCACAGTCGCCGTGCTCTTCACGACTACCGTCTTCGTCTTGGGTGTTCCACTAACAGTCTCCGTCTTCACTCCTCCACCCAAGGTCACCGTCTCGAACTTGGTGCTCGTAGAGACCGGTAGCGTGATTGTCGTCTTGGACGTCACATCGCTCGACTTGGTAACATAGACTGTTTCTTGCGCCGCGAGTATGGTCGATGTCTTCGAAGCCGTCTTGAGAGAGCTGATGGTAACTGCTGGTTCCGTGACAGTAGAAAGTACCGTCTTCGTGACGAGCTCAGTTGAGTAGAGTGTGCTCGTCGAGGCCTTGAGAGTCGTCGTCTTGCCCACCTTCTCCGTTGACAGCACAGTTGTATAGTAGGTGGAGCCTGCTTGCGCAATCGTCGAAGTCTTCACCACCGAGGTAACCGTGATTGTGCTGGTGCTGGCCTTCAGAGAAGTCGTCTTAGTGGCAATGGAGGACACGGTAACTAGGGCAGTCGAGCCTGCTTGAGTTGCAGTAACTGTAGCTACGTAGCTGCTAACCGTGGTGCTGATGGTGAGCGTAATGGTGCTAGCCACGGCACGGGGGATGACGGCGCCTCGGCGGACCAGGTTCTGAGCGCTGCCAGTAGGAACGCAAGACAAAGTGGTAGTCGACTTCTTGGTAGTTGTCTTGATCGAGATGCTGCTAACAGTGACTGAGCTCTTGGGCTGCACAGTAGTTGTCTTGGTGGTGCTTGGCTCAATAGAGATGGTAGTCTTGATGGTCGTGGAGGCCGCCTTCTGGGTCTTGGAGCTTGTGATAAAGACCGTGGATCCTTGGCTGATAGTGACTGACGTCGGCTTGGGTGAGGACGTGTACAGGACAGTGACAGTTGTAGTACCCTTGACTGTTGAAGTTGTGGCTCCCTTGGTAGTTACTCCAGCTTCGGTCACGGTGCCCTTGACAACACTAGTCTTGGTGACAGGCTCCGGTGTGATTGTTAGACCAACGTCTTCAGTTACTACCGATGTAGAAGTAGAGGTAACGTCAGGAGACACGATGGAAGTAGTGGCAGTCACCTTCAACGTGCTAGTCTTCAGCACATCGATAGCACTGATCGAGAGAGTTTCTGTGCTCTTCACGACAGTAGTCGAGGTGACCTCAGGGGCGGTAACAACCGCGCTTGCGGTGAGCTTTGCGATCACCGTAGTTGTGGTGTACGCAGTGACGATCGGTAAGCTACTTGAAGATGTGAGACTGATAGTCGACAGCGACGCAGTAGAAGATGCGGTAGAAGAAGAGACGAGAGACGAAGATGCAGTGCTACAGACTTGCGGCGAGCCCATTCCAACCGTGAAAGGCTGGGTATCAACGTATCGGAAATCGATGAAGGCAGTCGATGGGAAGAACGACGCAAGTTGAAACTGAGCGACATCGGTGTCTGAAAGCTGCTGGCTGAAGCTGGCACGCTTACAGATTGCGGAACCGGGACCGGTGTTATGGTATTCTCCGTAAGTGACGCCGTCCGTCTGGGGGTTGCTCTTTGACCATTGCGCCCACCCAGCAGGGCTGATCATGGCGTCAAGGTAACATGCGACATAAGCAACGCGCGAAAAGCTATTCCATGGGCGGCCGAGGCTGACGCTGCTGAAAGACCCAGAACCAGGAGCTGGTACAATCCTCGATTGATCAAACACGAAACCAGCAGCCGTCGTGTTGGTGGTACGCTTGTGGGCCGTGATGCTGATCCCATCCTCGTTAGAGGCGATGGTTGAGTCCAAGAAGTACGCGGATCCAGAGCCATAGATGAAGTCGACGTTACCCTCAATGTACGTCTTGAATGTGAAGAGGTTACCAGAGACACTGAGGGTGTCTTGGTTACCGTAGATCTGACATCCATACAGCGCAGCAAACTTGCTACTTTGGACAGCAAAACCAAGCGAGGCAATGTTCTGCTGCGTGCCATTGTTGTTACGGAAGTTGATGTTGAAACCATGGAAGTAGTTGCCCTTGGCGTAGACAGTCGCTCCGTCAGTGTTGCTACCAGAAGTACCTTGTGTATCGATGCCGCGGCTGAACTGGATAGTGACCTGATTCTTGGAGTAGTCATCGGTCGCATCCGAGTATCCGCGGAAGATGGTATGACCAGACTTTGCAATGATAAGCTGCTCCTCGTAAACACCGGGGTAGATGAAGATGGTAGCATTCGTCTTGCTCGTGGTCGGCGCTGCGTTGAGAGCACCCTGAATAGTGTCGTAGGTAACAACACCATCAATAGGCGTCTTAGAAACGATAAGGGCGTCAGCTGGCGGGGTCGTGCCATTGAAAACCGAGGTGCCGTTGACATTGATGGGTCCTGGAGGAATGACAACGGGCGCTGAAGGCTGCGGGGTGACAATGGAGTTGAAGTAAGTCATGTCGATCCATTCGGTTGAGTCCATCACCGATGACAAGGAGTAGGTGTCTGAAGTAAGCAACGTAGCGTAACCAAACGACTCACGAGCAGCAGCATTTTGCTCCCAGTTTGAGGGACCAGAGTTGTTGAATTCGGCGAAGGTGATGTGATCGGTACGTGGGTCGGTTGCAGACCAGATCTTCCATGCGGCAGGAATGATGGTAGCGTCGATGTAGGAATTCTTGACAACAACAAGAGCGTACGCGGAGTAAGGTCGGCCGAGGTAGACCTTGTTCGTAAGGTCGTCAACTGCGTTGGGAGCTGCAGTGAACAAGCATTGGTCAAAGATGTAGCCACCTATTTCGGTGCTCGATTTCCTGCTATGCGCCGTAATCGCCGACGATTTGCGCTTAGCTCCAATCGTGCATCCCTTGAAGTATGCTTTAGAGTAGCCCCAGATGAAGTCAATGGCACCACCAATATAGCACGACTCGTAGTACTGGTAGCCAGCTGTCGCACCGTTCAGGAGAGTGTCTTGCCAGCCATCAAATGAACAGGCGTAGAAGGCGATGTCGTTTCCGTAGATCGAGCCCGCGAGCGTGACGTATGAAGGCTCGGAGCCATCAAGGTTATCCGTGTTGATCATGTTGACGTTGTACATGCTGATCCGGCTTGACGCTGTGGCAAATACAGCAGTCTCCGCGTTGGAGTGGCCTACAGGTAGCGGCGACACAGAAAGACCACGAGCAAAAGAGATCGTAACTTGATTGTCCTTGTAAGCTTGGCCAGGATTGCCAGTAGTATATCCAATGATCCTAACAGCACCAGGGCGGTTGACAGACGGGATCTGCTCGTTGTAGGTACCAGGGTATATGAAGATGGTCTGATTGGTCTTATCTTGAGGGAGCGAGGCAAGAGCTGCAGTGATGTTCGTGTACGCAGCGTTATTACTACCATCTTTAGAGACGATCACAGCACCCAGTGGTGGCAGGGTACCGCTGTCAGGATGAGCATTGATGGTGGCAGTAGTTGTTGGCCCGGATACGGTACCATTAGCCGAGGGTGACGGAGATGGCGATGGCGAGGTAGCCGTAGGACCCGTAAGGCTGTACGAAGGGATCGCATTGTACGCATCCATATCCAGCCACGCCGTGCTACCGATCCATGCAGCAAGCTCGTACTTTGCCGCTTGAGATGCTGTCAACTTGGTCGCAAAGCTGGCGCGCTGAGTAGTATCCGACCAACTACCAGGTCCAGTGTTGTTGTATTCGCCGAATGTGACTCCAGAAGTCTGAGGGTTGTTTGTCTGCCATACGGCCCATCCAGCGGCGGATATGTGCTTATCAATGTACGAGTTCATGTAGACGGCGATGGAAAACTGGCTGTAGGGTCTGCCGAGATAGGACAATCCAAAGTTGTTGCCATAGGTAGAACTGTAGGTGATGACAGAGGAATCGAACACGTAGCCACCAGGAGCATCTGCAGTAGCCCTGGAGTTTGCAGCAACGTAAGCACCAGGTGTGTTACTGACGATCATGCACTGATGGAAGTACGCAGTAGAAAACCCCCAGATGAAATCGACACTTCCCTCAACGTAGCAGTTGCTGAAAACTTGGGTACCCTTGTTGGCGAGTAGCGTATCCTGGAAACCGACGAATGAACAGCCATACGCGGCGATATTAGCGCCGTAGAAGTCCGCAGCTAGCGCAGCGGTGTTGGTGGTCTGCGGGTACGTGTTGACAAAATCGATGTTGTAGAGAGCCATGCCAGAATCGCCACTAGGCTTGGAAAATATGACAGGTGTTTGCTCGTTCTTTCCAGCACTGGTGAGTTCACCACGGGAAAACTCAATGCGAACCTTGTTCTGTGTATAATCGTTCGTGAAATCGGTGAAGCCTCGGAGGGTGACCTTTCCCTTGCGGGTGATCGAAAGCTGCTCGACGTATGTACCCGCACCAATCTTAATGGTGTATGGATTACCGTCATTAGGCAAAGCATTGACAGCAGATGTAACGTTCGAGAACTCGCAGGGTCCTGGCGTCTTAGAAACTACAAGTGTCGGAGACGCTGCTGTGATGGAGCAAGTCGATGCTGCTGGAGTTGCGCTAGATGTCATTGATGCGGTAGCAGTAGCGTTCGAAAGGAGGCTGGAGATGGCGGAGATGGACAACGACACCGACGATGATGCTGATGAGGACACGGTAGACGAAGCGACCGACGCCACAGACGAAGCGGATGCAAGCTGGGCATCGTCTGATGCTTTCAAGGATGCCACAACATCTTGGTCAATCCATGTGAGCGAAGAGCTAGCGTAAGGGTAGAATGCGCTACCAAAGACCTTGTCGATGGTGAACTGAGAGACCTGTTCAGCCGAGAGGGGAACATCGTAGTTTGGACGAGAAGCAGCATTCTTGCTGTAAGACCCCGCACCAGTTGTAGCAAATTCGCCGAAGAAGGATGGAGTAGTAGCTGCCGAGGGGTGAATACCAGCAGGAGCGACCAAGCTTCCTATAGCGGTGTTTCTGTAAATCGTCACAGCACCGGGACCGTTAGGAGCTGCGAGCCACACATTGTTGTTGGTGTATCCAGATTTCTGCTGGATGGAGCTCGAATCGAAGACAACCGTAGAGTTGGCGAAGTCGCCACCAGTAGGCTGTCCACCCTTGTTGTATACGATGAGGGCACTCGAACTAAGTGGCACGACTGTAGATTTGTAGACGTAGATGGTTGGGTAGTTGTAGAAGAGATAGTTCGAGCCCTCAATGTATGAATTGGCGAAGAAGGCGGTTCCATAGGAGGCAGAGATGGCAGTGCCACCAGGCGAAACGACTGAGCAACCGTAGAAAGCGACATTGCCTCCCCTGAGGTTGAGAACAACTGCATTGGTTCCTGCAGATACCGCGGCAGAGTTAACGATGTTGATGTTACGGACAGTGACGCCTTTGATCTTGTCGGTGCCGATCTTGAAAGGAGTGTCAGTGGCAGCGATAGTAACCTTGTTCTCAGACCAATCATCAGCACCTGTGGGTGTGGGCCCGGCGATCGTTACAGTAGCTTGCCCTTGAACAGTGACGGCCTCGGAGTAGGTACCGGGCAGAACGGAGACGGTGGCGATGCCGCTGTCCTGAGCTGCTTTAACAGCTACATTGATGGCGGTATAATCTCCAGATCCATCCGTAGCGACAGTGATGCATGATTTCGAACCTGAAGCAGTAGCCGATGTAGTCGTGAGGGGGGTTGAAGACGCAGAAGAAAGACGCGTGGTACTCAAAGTGGCATTCAAGGCACTACTCTGAGCAGCTGCAAACCCAAACAGGGCAGCAACAGCGAATAAACGCATAGCGAATGACGATCAACCGACGAAGACGGGAAGCGATCGATGAAGATTGGAAGTGCATGGTAGTTGACGATACTTAAGCTCAAGATCCTCACCATGGGTTCACGGGGCTGACTCCAAATCGGGTATACCACGACAACGTGGTCTGGATCCCGTTTACATTCTGACACTTCGGTAAATCCGTTTTCTACGCTTGTCGCCCGAGTCGTATATCGGACAGGGTAGATAGCCGGTGGGTCTCTCCAAAGATACCAGGGAGGAAAGCCACAATCGATATCCACTGCAGTATGAGATGCTCACGGTGGCAAGCCGTGTCGATCGACAGACCATCGCTGCTAATTTTCCGAAGATTGAAGCCTAGTTGCTGTGTAAATATTGATGATGCCGACTTTAGATTGGAACGGCGTCTGCTAACGGGTATAGAATGCAGGAACGAAAGCAGGATGGCATTTCAACTGTGGTAGGCTAGGCGCGTTCCTGCATGGCGTTCAGGAATAATCTTAGAAGTGTCGCCCGTTGCTTAACGAATTTCCACGCGTGCTAGCGCGAAGTGGCTTGCGTTCGGTGACGGTTCGGCCAATTTCACCATGCTGACAGGGCCGCACATCTGACGATGTTGAAGGCGAGACTCAAGAGATGAGCCGAGGCGGTGCTCAAGAGCAGACAGGATTGGTGTCGGGAGTGCAGGTGTCATCCTAGCGTCGATTGTGTAGGTGGTGTGTTGTACGACCCACTCCAGCATCGGCCTCTGGAGCTCTAAGAACCAGGGTGCCGTGGATATGAAAATCTTTCTGGAGAAGTAGCCAAGTACCCATGCCAGACCACGAGGTCATCGTAAAATGATCCAGCATTTCCTAGATAAGCGCGAAGAACCAGCGTTTTGGGGTTGGGTCGGTCCATCCAGTGTTCTGGGCGTCGGATCAGGGACCAAGTGGGCTAAGCTCTACGATTAGCGGCGAAAAAGTGGCGCGCCAAAAGCTTGGTAACTCAGTTCCTGGCTTTCGGTAGATGTGATAACAACTCCAGGGGCGGTTGGCGGTTATTCAGCTCGCTCTCGCACTCGTCCGGACAAGGGCAAAGAATTGTTCCTCCAATGAGTCTGGGTGTGGCTTTCGGGATGGGAGTCAGGATAGCGAGTTTGCTTTGTCGCGATAAGATATACAGTCCTCATCTGGTATGTGCGGCTGAGATTTCAAGACGTAGGGCCGAAGACCGTCGGGTACACTTCGCGGACGAACAGTGGTCGTGACGCGCGCTGATGTGCGCGTGGGTGGGCAAGGCTTCCATGCAACGTATATGTGGATCGCTCACCCAAGACCCAGAACATTGGGTTTCAACTTGGAGACAATTTACTTGGCTCAGGGGCATCTCATGATGGGGATTGTTCCGCGGGGCAGACATAGTGCTGTCTCGACCTAGGGAAAAGAAAGATGAAGTTTTTCTCAGTGTTGCGAGCGCGTCAAACGTCTCAACGCGTCATCTCCTCGGAGCGCCATAAACTTTATCCAGATACCTAGATTCGTCAGCGACGGTTTCATCTGACATTTGTTGTTCATCGCTGTGGATTCTCCCGAATGAGGTGGTCAAAAAGATCAAGGTGAAGTAAGCACATAATTATTCATTACTCATTCTCATCATCAGTAGACACCCGTCTACAAGGTATATCTGAATCCCTCAAGCCCCTCGATAATCTTGCCGCCGTTCGCAGCCCGCTTGTTGGCCATCCAGAACTTCAAGTTCAGCAACAGCGAGATGATGATAATCATGCCCGAAGCAATCATGCACGCAACAATACCAGGTACATAGGACGGTGCGTCTTGAGTCCTGAAGACAGTGCCGCCAATGATACCACCAACGCCTCCTGCACCGACCAGAGTAGCGCTGCAGAGAGCACGCTTCCATTGTCCACGGATGTTGTTTGCTTGCCAGGTGAGGATGCAGGGAACGTTTGCGTTTGCAGCGGCGGTAGCGAGGAAGACACCTGATCAGAGATGTTAATGGATGTGAACGAGAAGGACTGTTGGGGGGAGGTGAACTTACCGAAGTATCGGACGCCTACATTGGTACTGAAACCGATCATGGGTAGGCCGATGAGAGCGAGGACACCGTTGGCGATGACCCATGGACTGCGAATGTGGTACTTGTCTCCTGCCCAGGCGAAACCAAGCATGACAAAACCGGCGAAGACGTAAGGTGGTGCGATAAGACAGTTAGCGGCAGCGGGACTGAAACCCATACCGTCTTTCAGGATGATGGGAAGGAAGTAGGCGATGGCGTAGGTGATAGTCGTCGTGAACATGAAGATGAATGCGAAGCCCCAGACCTTGAGATCCATGGCTCCAGCAAGATAGCTCTTGAGGTTGAACGCCTCAGCGACGACGTCGTGGCGGTCTTCTTCGATGCGTGCAACGATGAAGTCAACCTCATCCTGGTTAAGGAACTTCTTCTGGGTCTTGCTGGGCTTGGCAGCCAGTTCGGGGAAGTCGACGATGAAGTACCATCCTACAATGCCAATCAATACAGTGATGACGCCCTGCATAATGAAGATCCATCGCCATCCGGAGAGACCTGGTCCGTAGCTGACAGGTGTAAGGGGTGCCTTCTTGGTGGGTCCGTAGTGCGGACCAAGCCAGTATGCTGCTTGGACGCCGTGGCCGCTGAGCAGAGAGAAGAGGTAGCCGAGAATACCTGAGAAGGCAGAAGACAGCATGCCAATGAGGAAGAAGACAGTGTTGCGCTTCTGGAGCTCGAATCGCTTGTACCAGCATGAGAGGAGGTATGCAGAACCTGGGAAAAAACCGGCTTCAAAGATACCGAGAAGGAGGCGAAGAGGGATCAGTGTGTGCCATTCCTTGACGAAACCAAAGCCGATCATTACTGCTCCCCAGATGATGACGATAGCAGGGAGGAAGAGTCTTGGACCCAACTTCCTTAGCACAACTGTAGCCGGTGGCTGGAGTGCGACGTAAGTGATGAAGAAGAGCAAGACGATGATGCTGTATCTCTCGCCAGTAAGCTTCAAATCGACACCCATGCCTGCGACCATGGCGACACCAAGGTTGGTCCGATCCATGAGCGAGACACAGTACATGCATCCGAGTGTTGGGATGAGTCGTAGATCAACCTTGCGGACGATCTTCTTCTGCTCCTCAGGTGTAAAGCGAGTAATGGCGGCATCGCTGGCGGTTGTGTCGGACTCAATGCGTTCCAAGGTGGTGACGTTACCCTTCTCTTCAGCGAAAGACGCCATGGCTGATGTTGGAGTCCTCTGAGACCCGGTAAAGGGGGCTAGATGTGGACCTCAATTGAGGGATGATGGAACCCACGAGGTGGAAAAAAGAAAAGAGGTAGAGAGATGACTTTCTGATTGAGAAGGATGAAGGAGGACCTACTTGCAGCTGCCGGATACTCGACTTCATATACACTTCTGCTTCCCCAGACTAATAGGCTCGCCTTCCCCAGATTCTTGCGGCGTCGCCTTCACCATACCCCAGACTCGTCAAACCTTAGCAGTCTGCATCCGATACTGACAAGCTCTCTAAGCTATCTCGCCTACTACCTATCGATTTCACCATGGTACGGAGTCTTGAGCCCATAGCTCCGGAGACGACCTACCACAGCGGTTAGCAGTATGAATACCAAGGAGCCTCAAGCAGCCTCAAGCAGAAAAACACCCGCGATAGTGCTGTCTGGGCCCGACAGTATGGCGGCGTTCACTCCGGTAGAGCGTGATGGCGCATGTCAACACGTTGTCGACAGTCACGCCGAGCCTATACCCCGCGTGCATAGCCATCAATATGGTAGGAATCTGGAGGTGGCTGTGATGCATTGGATACGTAGTGAAGTTTTGGGGCCTGGGCAAACACTTAGCGGGAAGTCCGCTGTGCGCTACGAGCACGTGGCGTGGGCCCAGACTCTCAAACCAAGGCCTGCAGCTGAGCAACTTGCCGAAATCCAGTGCCATCTGGAATTGGCAGGGCATCTTCCGCTGGTCCAAGGTGCGAATATCGAGATATTGATGTATCATGTGCGGAAAGGTTCCACAATACATGCGGTTCGACGCAACTCAGTTCAAGATCAACAATCATTGCATGAGCCCTTATTGTGCCCAACTGCACACAAGTTATGGTCAGTTTTGCGTATAGGTACATCCAGGAATTCGAGTTCTAGATGTCTTGGGCGTCCAGGTCCTGTTATGTTGGTTTAATGAGTTTGAGGTGCGCAGAGTGCGGAAAGTTCCATGATCGCACTTTGGACATTTGCCTAACCGGCCCTTCTTCCGCGACGCAACTGTCACGCTGCAAAGGATGAAGCTTCCGATACGACTTTAGTCGACGTATGCCTGAAAGTATCTTCGAACCAGCGGGTACTCCGACGGAACATGCCCTGTTTGTGTGCTTGGAGAATCTTGTGAACGTCCCAAGTGCTAGTGATGTTACCGACAGTCCTGTCGCTCTCGGATTGGAGTAGGGTTGAGGGAGTCTTGAAATTGTCATGCCGAGGTGTCATTCCAGCAATGTTATTGGACTTCAAGCTTGCCAATTCGAATGGCGCAATATCGTTTTCGGACGACCGTGAGAAACGCAACCACGAGTGTGTCGGCTGGTCAGAATATGGCGGTCATCGTGTTGCTTTAGTTTGTCGCTACCAGAGGCTCAACAAGTGTGTAATCTCTAGTCGAATTGTGTCCAAGGCAGTGCCGAGGTAAAAGACGCGTTGTGTTGTCAGCTGAAACAGAATATGTAGGTTGACAAGATGGCAGGGACCGACGAAGAAACAAGCGCTACCTTTGAAGATCTATGTAGTTCAGATTACCGAGAGTTAGGTAGTCATATCCGAGGATGTGTTGCAATGGCGTCGTTGATCAGTGATCAACAAACTATGCCGATCTGCCTTTGAGTCGAGAAGATGTCACGTGACCTGCGGGCTTGAGTCAGTCTATCACATCATATGATGTACAACTTTCAACATGCTACCTTGACTCTTCCCGTCTGAAAACACCGACCTTTTGAAAATCAGAGTGACAAGAAGTCTATACTTTTGAAAGTCTCACTGGTTCGATCTATCCGTTCCTAGACCTATTTCTATCGAGTTTCCAGAGTTAAGAAAATTGCGATCAGGGAAATCGAAGGTCGTGGTGAAGTGATGTTTGTTCGCGACCATCCTAGGTAAGGATCTTTGCGTCTCCTGAAGTTCACTGTAGTATGTTGTGCCGCCGTCCATGCTATATCAGTTGTGGCTTCCTCTTGGTTTCTCAGACGATTGGTTTGTTTGGGAGCTTCTCATGGAGCAACAGAAGCGCTTAGCCTTCTTTCAATTTCTATGCTAAAGCGCCAAATCTCAACCTTGAGCGATGCCCAGAGCGCGATTTATTATGAAGGTTGCGCGTTAGAAGGTGGTTGCGGTTAGTGGCGAAAATGCTAGCGTGTACAATAATCAGTAGTGGAGTCATTGTAGGGCTGTTGCCCACATGCCGGGATGAAACCACCCATATCCTGGGGCGGTACGAAGGCAAATGTCTAAGCATCCACACGTAGGGAAAACCTGGAGTACCTGGAGAACGGGCTGGGTATCGGGTGACTTCTACCTGACAAGACTGGGGTTGAATCGTTGAATCCCGAACGAAGAGCAGACGTACCACGTGTACAACAAGATTTGACCCGACAACTAGACAACTGAGACACTTCCAGATCAGCAGTACTCATTACAGAGCTCTCATTCGCAGAAGGTACTGGACAAGCTCGAAATCGTAGCTATTGCTTTTCCCTTATGTTGTCGCGTGGTACCTGTAGTCGCTGGCGGAGGATAGGAATTTTTGCCCACAATAACCGCCGGGTGGGTCTTTTGGGCATCCTGAGTCAACATATCCATGGCGTCAAGGCTGGAAGTGGGTCCATAGGGCAGCGATGAGCCGCAAGACCATGTGTTCGGGACCCAATTGGGGACCTTTTGGGCAGCGAAGGATTCAACAATGAGACGGAGTGACATGCCAAATGTGAGTCACACGCCATGATAGGAACGGAGCGCATTCTCTAGGCTATAGAGTGGAATGGTTTGCGCGAACGAACTGAAGCTGGATAGTGCGGTGAAATGAAAGCGTTCACAATCCCATCTTTCAATTTCGCTCGGGTTCCGACGAGATGGTGGATTTGTGGTGGGCTCCAGGGCTGCGCTTAGCGAGTGTCCCACGCGTTCCTCCACCCAACCAGCGCTAGCCCAACGGCGAAGACGACATCAGATAGAAGAGCGCGACCGGAGTCTTGATATAAAAGGAGCGAAGCCTAAGAAGCAGTTCAAAAGGCTGGGACAAGGGCTTCTGGGAGTTGACGTGCAGTAGGTCATCGTGCATATGATTGTGCTACCTACGATCTCAGTACCATGCCCAACAACTTGTCGATTGTGGAACCAAATACTCATCGTTTTTAGGCATCGTGGCATCCTGCAGGTTTTCGCGATATGTCTGGTGCAGATTCTCTCCCATATTTGCGATGGTGTTTTCCAAGTTGCAGGTACATGACTGTGTACCGTGGTACAATGGCTGCCGATATCGCATCAATCTGACACAGGCTTCAAGCCAAAGATTTTGATATCTGCACGGTGTCTGCGATGTGCCGAAATGATTCAGCCATGATTCTTTGCCGGTTGCACGAAGAGTCTAATCAGACGTCAGTGGAAGAAGTTTGTATACGGAGGCCCTTTGGAGCAAGTCGGCAACCCGTATTTGTCCGCTACCCCGCGGCGGAACTGAATTGATGTCACAACGAAGGTTAGCTGAGCATTTGACGTGTGCGACGAGCGCTGTTCATAACCTGGTGTTCGGCACTGACTGGGTCGCGCAGAGTGCTGCAACTGAGCCGAAGCGAATGTGTTCTGAGTGGCAATCGTCAAGCATCACGGCATATCCATGGCGCAGACGTGGGTTGAGAGGGGGCCACAGTAGTACAAGAGTCAACGTCATGTGTGGTGGTGTAGGTGCATTGGACGAGCGGTCACCTTTTCAGAGAGGGACCACTGCACCATTTCGTCTTACAGCAATGGCACCAGCGAATGACAAAGGTGAGCAGGATGCACTACATGGGAGTTTTGATGGTGGTGGTGGTGTGTTTTACCACGACTGCGTGGAGCTTGATCTAGCAACGACGAAAATTCAAGACGCTGTACTTTGTGTATAGAGTCCGTGCCATGACGACGGTCGATCACGACATGATGAGAGGAGCGCGGCAGCGGCCACCTCGGATACGATAACGGTCATCGTGCGTGTGACGTTCGCGATCGAGGTGCCGTGGAAGGTGCAGGTTGGGGCATTGGTCGCATTCAGATGCACATCATTTGCTCTGGTTCTGGCCAGACTTGTTGAGAGTATTGCGCTGCTCGATGTGGTGCGTCTCTTCACCGGAAAGTTTGGTGGGGTAGTGTAGACGACTAGGCGAGTAAGCAACGCTTGACGGGCCGCGTGATTAGAGCTGCGTCCGAGGCGATTCGATGGGGTTGTTACACCGATACGCTGTCTTGCGTGTGAGTGCGTTAGTGCCGGGCAGGGCAAGTGCTAACAAGATGTGATTTGCGTGGTTCTGGCAACGTAGCGCCAGTCAGACTCGAGACCGAACAACGAGAGCTCGCAGTGGCGAAAGGACACATGTTATGCTTCGCGTCGTGGAGATTAATGAAGGTAACGATGGTGAAAGTGCTCTGTTGTTCCTGCATGGTAAGCGCGATTGACGTGGCCGAGCCAGGAGGAAACGAGTTAGCTGTTAATAAACGATGCAGTGCTGAGGCTCCATGACGTGAACCGTGAAGAAAGGCAAGGAAAAGTTCGATGGAGCTAGGAAGGTCTGCCTGCCCTACGACCGTTCACCGTGTGATGCTGCAGAGAATCGCGGGCGTTGTGGTAATACACGATAGATAACGCCAAGGCGAGGTGTGATCAGCAGCCGAGGACGCCGTTCGAGTCTAGCAGGCGGGCGACAAGCTTTGGTGACGGCTGCATCGAGCGTCGCGGGCGTTGAAGCCGTGGTTCTGACGAGCGAGGGTGCTGGTCGTGGCTCTTGCGAGGGCGGTGAAGTGGTGCATCGAGGTGCAGTCCGCCCTCGCCTTCAGCCCTCACAGACAGGCGAACGGCTCGCATCAACGAGGGCCGGGCAATCCCGGTTTCACGTCGTTCCAACGGAGACGATGCACGACCACTCAAACCGATGGATGTTGCGCATCTGAGGCAGCCAATGGCCACGCGACTGGCTATTATTACGACCAAGACACCTATGATCAGCATCAGGGTGGCCGGGTGGGCAGGGTGGACAGGGTGAAGCAGTGTGGGTGCATGGCGAAACTGTTGCAGACTCGGCCTCGGAGGGCAGGCCTCCCCTACACGGGCGGCAGAGTGGAGTGAGCAGTCGACATGGCAATTCAACTGAGGGCAGCTGTTGCGGCTGGCAACGAGGGCGTCTGCATGCACACTCAACCAAGAAATGGTGTGGAGGCTGGCTGCGTCACTCGTAGCGGTACTGCGCAGCCTGGTGCAGACATGCCATGACTGAAAGGGCCGTAGAGGGCGGCAGAGACAGCCCCTCCTCCAACCACTAGGTGTTGGAGGTTGACTGGGCAGCGACGGATGCGGTGCGCGCCCAACGATTAGACGCATTGCATGAAAGAGCTAGCCCGCTATAAGGCAGTTTATAGTACCACGCCGTTTTGAATTTTACGGGCGGGGGAAAAGTTTCGTGTGTCGAAGCCCGAATAACGCCTGCATGCCTGCCTGCCAGCCTGCTGCACACGAACTCGCCCGTCATACTCTGCATCTGCCTCGCATATCCTCCTGCTTCCCTCGTCCCCTTTGCTCTGATCTTCTTTCCCCCCCCTTCACCCACACCGTCTTCATGAGACGGTAGCACCCCCAAAGACGCCCGTGCTAATAATGCGCTCTCGACGTCTCGCCTGATTGTCAAGGATCGCCCCGCGACGCTTTTATTATCGATAGAGCCGCTAGATATTTTGCCGACTCCTGCCCTCTGCGCGCCTGTGAAGCCCGCTACTCTCCCACAGAACAAACGCCGCTGCCAACATGGCGAGCCCACAGGAGATGCAGCCTACTGTCGAGGACTGCTTCTCCGATGACAGCGAAGGCGGCTCTATTCCTTTCCAGGGCCGGCGCTCGCCCAATGCCGCTAACGTCTCCACCAAGCGCTCGCACCCATCCGACTTGGATAAAGAAATGCCGCCCGCTCAGGAGAGGGCGCCGACCAACATCGACCTTCGCTCCGACTCAGGGTACAGCAGCTACACCACCGCCACCGTCAGCAGCACTAATTCCGCTCAAAGTGCTCCTCCCCAGCGCAGCCCGCCCCAGGTGCCTGCTGCCCCAGTCCCTCCTCAGCAAGAGGCTCCCAAGATCCGCCGACGCCCTACCGTCTCAGAGTCGACCAAGCCCTCCTCCAAGGCTTCGTCCCGACCCAAGTCAATCTCCCGCACTGCCTCGACCTCGTCCAAACCCCCAGCCATCATCCAGCAACGTGAACGCCGGCCGACCGTTACCCAGGATCCTCGCCCGGACCACAGAGATCGTCGTGATAGCAGAGTCGAACCGGAATGTGCCGACCCCAGGCGCACCAAGTACGACCCCAACGCGCCTGCCCCAGCTCCCCGTCGTCATAACATCCGCCCTGAGATTCACCCATCTCAATCCGCTCGCGACGTGAATCGCCCTTCCCAAGAAGACACCCGCTCAATGCGTTCTGATCCCACCCCCTCCCCGTACTACCCGGACCAGCGCCAGTCCTACTACTCACACGCTGGTGCCGTTATCCAGCCAGCCACGACACGTCCCCGTCGTCCCTCTGTGTCTCGACCCGTCAGCTACAGCGGTGAGCCTGGACCCCAGTACCACTGGACTCAGGGAGCGCCTGGAGGATATGCAGGCCACCCGCAAGATCATGGCCCGCCCCTCTCCCAGTCTGCGCTTTACCGTCAAAGCTATTCAGGCCAGATGGGCCCCCCACCCGGACCATATGGAGCGGCACCTGTATACCACCCTCAGTACGGCTACGGGATGGCCCCGTCTTACGACGGCATGCAAAGGCCAGGCATGACACACCGCAACTCGACCAATATTGCACGCAATGGACCTGCACCACCCCTTGTCATCGACCAAGCTCCGCGTGATCAGTATTCGGCAAGGCGCGGCCAGCCTCAGAGCGCTACACAGCCCAGGTTTCCACCCCAGAAGCAGCTCCAGGGCGAGGCCTACGAGAGCTACAGCGAATCTGAGAGTGCATCGTCTGACGAAGACGACGACTATGAAGCCGAGCCCCATCCCGACGATCGCTATGCCCAGCGTGCGCTCATGCCGCCTCCTCCCCAAAAGCTTGAGCGGACCAAGTCCAAAGCGAAGCCCAAGAGCAAGAGCAAGAAACTGCAGCGTCCATCCATCTCCCACGCCTACACCACCTCGGAGGTCGAGCAAGTTCGCGCTGACCGCCGCAAGTCCCAGCCTGTCGTTGTCAACCACGACCACCCTACCAGCCGTCACCGTACAACCAAGAGCACAAACGAACCGTCTCGCCGACAGTCAGTCAGCCGACCTCCTCCTCCACCGCGTGAAATTCAAACCGAATATCCCGCCAGAGGTGGTCAGGTCTATGTGCACGACAGCACTAAGGCTGAGCGGCGTCGATCAGCTCATTACGGGAAGTCTTATAACGACAGACATGCTGAGGCCAGGGAATATGAACGCCTCGAAGCTGAAGCCAACGCTAAAGCTGATGCTAGGGCTAGACGCGAGGCTGATAGACGCGAGGCCGAGAAAGCCGAGGCGCGATACCAGGCTGAGCAGGAGCGCAAACGTGAAAAACGTAATTCAAAGGTCTATTACCAACCTCCCGCCGCGTTCGACAGTAGCGACGAGTATGAGTCCGAAGTCGAGGCTCCCATCCCCGAAGCTCCAGCTCCTCCTCGCCGCCGCCGTCCTACTGATGCGGAAGGCCGCAAGGTCAAAGAGCGTGCTCCACCGAAGGCCAGGCGAGATGAGATGAAAGCGTTGGAATACATCAACCATCAACGCGGTACTGATGCTCCGTTGATCGACCACATCCACAGTGCCGCAAAGAGAGCTTCTAGGGTACCGTCAATTCCCTCTCATTCTGGCTCCTCTGGAAGTGACAGGCACACGGCCGTCACCAGCAACGGCAACAACGAGATTCGCCTCAGAGTAGACGCGAATGCCCCACTCAGCCTGCAGTTCAACGGCGACATGGAGGGTCGCACTATGCGACTCATCCCAGGCGAGGACGGCATGGCAGAACTCGTCATTAGCGGAAATCCTGACGGTGGCAGCGAGAAAGGCAGCAATGCAGGTGACAGGAAGGCATTGGTCACGCGGAGACAAGCAGAGGAGATGAACGAAGGCAGTATACGCAGCCACCGTAGTAGACGCGAAAGCCGAGTAGTACGAGATTCTCAAGACGATAGGATTGAGGTGCAGCGACCACTGCGTCGCCGCGCCAATTCCCATTACGTTAACTGAGAATCTTCGAACCTCTGGCATTCGCCCACACCACAAAGATGCGTAGACCGACTTCGACCTTTCCTCCACACGTTACACGCCTGTTCCGAACCTTATCCTTGTCTGACCGGCAATTTTCATTCGATCTTATTTCCTTCGTTGGGTGGATGATTTTCAGACCAAAAGCTTTTCACGAGCGTGGACAGCCTTCTGCGGCAGACCTGCTCAACAAAAAAGTTCGGATCGGTTTCTTCATCGCGCTTTCGATTTTGGTACGGTTACCCACTCGCGCTGCATGTTTGTATGTTTGCTGTGTTCCTTGCGACAGTGCAGGTTACATTGTTATTGTTTGCTAGACTGGAACGCTCACGCACACCAACATATAATGCGTAAGGGCGGTCGCGCCATCTGGACCTTTGGATCGATCACAGATTGTACGGTTATCTTCTTCCTACCTTTCGTCGCGCCTTTTTTGAGCGTTCCCCACACCACCCCCCTTCCTTTTTCTTTCCCTGCACTATACCAGCTCCTCACGGAGGCTTTTCGGACCTTTTTGTTTGGCGGATGTAATACCCTTTTTTCTCTATCACTTGTTGTGGCTGGATCTACGTGGCAGCAGAAATGTGTGGGATTTCTTTTTTTCGCTTGTCGCAAAAAGTAAGCAAAGGTCGATGTGTTGGCAACGGCTACGACGCTTATGATGATGGTTGTATGGATCATGAACTACGCAGCGCTTTGAATGTTTTCCATTTCTTTCTTTACATAGCTGAGTGGGATTGATGGATAGAACTGATCTAGAGGATACTGCAGCTAGCCTGTAAGCATCACTTGGGATTACAATCACATCTCTTCCACCCTCTAGTAATCAGTGTACCCTGTGTTGGTTCACCGCAAATGTGATGCGTAATGATGCCACTGACCTCAGCTTGCGTATCTGCTTTTTCATACCGCATATGCAACCAGCCCACGCTCACCCCATCCCAATTCGGCCCACAATGCTCCGACATGTCCCACACGTTGTTCTTTTTCCCAGTGTTCCAGACCATTGTTTCGGTACTGTAAGAAACGGGGAAGTGCCGGTACTAGACGTATTGGTGGTGTCTGTTTGGACGGAGATTTCCGGCATTACTAGTCATATTTACATAGGTATGATATACCCGCCTCACTTGCCTTGCTTGTGTTGGGCGAGTGAATGCATGGTGGGTTGCCTACGTGTCGAGATTTGAAATGAGATGTACATGGCCAGCTTAGTAGGAAAGTAAAAAGTGAAGCAACCATTGAATTTATCCGATGACATGTCAGTGACATATGCCTGACGGTCTTCTCTCTTCAAAACCCGGGGTACCATCACTACGTTGAGTGGCTCTGCTGTTCCAACATCGATTCTGCTTCTTGCTCTTGAGCGGAATATTGCGGAGAAAGCGGCCTCCGCTCACCTTCCAGAAGTGAGCTGTTCGTATCAGCCACTCCTCTGCTTCCGACCGATGACTCTTCGTCACCAACTTCATCCGGCCTAGCTGCCTCAGGCCCATCAACCCATTCGATACCCTCCGCATCTACGAGCTCAACACCCATCTGACATCTCCCTTCCGATCCTTGAACCAACCTAATCTCGTCATTTTGTCACTGTTGGCGAAACCTTCAACGCCCTGCTCTTCGATTAGACTAATTAGACCATCGCTCCCAGCAACCATGGTAAGTACGTCTGCCAAGCACTCTATAGGGTGCTGCAGAGATGAGCTTGGATACACGATCTGCAAGCTCACGATGAGAACAATCAGGATGATTATGAGCAAAATGAGAATGGTCAGAGAGATCCAGGTAGCAACCTCATTCATGACCAGGACTTCGAAACGTTCCGTGAACGTTGCGTTAATAACACCATCTTGCCAGTCAAGGGCATTCTTATAAACCGCTCTCCCAGAATCATCAGCTGAACGGTAACCACCAAGTTGCGATGATCCAGAGTGAGCAAAGTGCTTGAAGAAGGTCTGCAAGGTCTTTTCGGAGTGCCAGAATAGTGTGGTTGTGTTTAGCAGTGCATCTGAGTTCTTGTTGGTAAGGTGCCAGTTTGCGTAGGACATGAAGTCGACATTGAGACCGCGGTCGCGGTCGCGGATGTTGAAGCGCTCGCTTTCTGTTTCCTCAATGCTCTTGTTGTATGAGAGCCAAGAGTGTGCCCCTCTTGGAGCGATGACATACGGAGCTGTGAGAAGCTGGGTCATGAACAAATGACCGTAACTGGTAAAGGAAATGGTCAGCTTTCCATGCATAACTCATGAGCGCGATGTGGTAAACCAAAAGCTAAAGTGCTCACCTAACATTTCCATCAGCATCGTTTCGTGTTGGTTCAGGATACACAATATCCCAGGCGTACTCCCATGCATTCTGATCAGGCTGAGTATCAGATAACAAGACGAAGTCCAGGACGTTTCCGGAGCTCCTGGCTACGATAACGCTAGCATTCGCGACCTCGATGATCGGCGCACAGTTCATTATAGACATCGTAGGTTCCTCTGTGAAGTAGAGAAGCTCCTCACTTGCATTTCCAAAAGTGTCGCCATTATTCTGGTAAGTTGTGTTGAGTTCGGCTCCAGAGATTTCTGCCGTCGCTCCCGGTCCAACAATCCATTTTATGGTAAAATTACGATACCAAGAACCATGGACAACTACGTTCTCAGGTCCGCTACTGGGACGTGAGAAAGATTCACAGCGAGTTTCAGTCGTGTTTTCAGTCACAGTTGTAGTGCAATTCTGAGACAAATCAGCAGGGTCTTCTGGTTCAAGCATTGAGCTGTTGCTAGTCCAGTATGCAACAACAGCTTGCCCACCCGGATCTGTGCCATTCGCACAGCATGACAATCGTCTTGGAATTGAAAAGACAGATGTATTGTACAACTCGCCGTTGAAAAGGGTAGTCGGTAGAGCAAACCCTGGTAAAGTCTCGTTCTTCCGGTCTGGGTAAACGTCTGCGGCTCGGTTGAGCCAGCTGGAGTTTGGCACGACGATCGGAGAACATTCCAACCGACTTCGAAGTGCAGATGTAATAGAAGAGATGTTGGCGGGTGAACTCAGGGGATCTGAATTCGAATGGTTCTCATCTTCAGAGGTCGCCTTCGAAGACATTGTGACGTTTGGTAACGGATCTATATCGAGGGGAGTGAAAACCCATTCATCTTTCGTGCATGGTAGTTGTGGTGGGTCGAGAATGATCTCGTCTAGCGCATTATATAACCACTGAATCTTTGACGCTTCCAACAAGGATTCAGTTATCTCGAAATGACGTTCACGTGTGCCATCGTCGCTTTGATAAAAGTTTAAAGGTTCTTGCCGTAGCGAAAACGGTGCTGTGATGGTGTTATCTGCATCTATTATTGGCTGCTCTTGTGTGACTGCCTGTCTCTCAAAGACAGCAGCCATAGATATAATGACTGTTCAATCAGCTACATGTCTTTATTGGAGCAAGAAATTACTTACGAATTTGTGACAGAGTTGTTCCGGCAGCAACAAGACATAGGATCCAATGTTTGCGTAGCGCTGCTTTCACAGCAGCCCACACCCAGTACGAAGATTGGTACGTCAAAGATGCTCCCCGTTTGGGAGCCACTGGGTTTCGCGACATAGAGAGATATGGCTGCAAACCCCGCATAGGCTTGTCAACGCCATCCCAGCTCAGACCAATTCCCACTGCGATCAGTGTAGCTATAAGGGAGTGAGGCGAGAAAGTTGTGTTGAAAAGGCCCACATCGACTTCGTAGGTGAATGCAGTACGGGAGAGCTTTTTCTCTCGTGCATATCCGCGAAGAATCAAAATGGCTACTGTAGTAGCAAAGAGATAAGCTAACAATGCGAAGAGCCACCTTTTGTGGAGCATTGAGGGCCTCCAGTCGTTTCCAATGCTGGCTTTAGATTTTGGAGAGCCTGGGGACAGTTCCTTCTTCCTAGCAAGTAAGTCTGACCCTTCAGCTTTGACTGCCTCACATTTCGATGTACCCTCCGAAAGAATGCTTCCTCGCAAATTGTAAGTTCGTGATTCAATCGTCTCTTGTATGTGTGGTCGGCTATGTCCAGCTAGTGTTTGTAATGTAGCCATAGGAGGTGAATCGATTTTGAGGAGTGAAGCTGTCCCAATAATAGCCGCAGGATCCGATCTGAGGCCTAGCGGTCGTCGTCTGACCGATACGCTAAATATTATGCTTGTTAGATAGCATGCCAAGAGCAGGAAGAGCACGGATAGCGTTATCCCAATCTCAGTAATAACCAAAATCCTTCCCCTCACGTGTGTAACACTACCAGGTGCACTCTCTAGCTCTAGGACGTCTGATTCTGTGATAGACGATAGCAAGAGCTCCTTCGCGAAACGCGTTCGAAGCATGCTAGCTTCCATCTCTAGTGTGTCACTCTCCAGCATGCTGGAAACGTTCTGGCCGAACTTGTCTACAAGAAGTGTGGATATCCCCTCAAAATCGCCATGGACAGTAAGCGGTATGGTAATGTACTTGGCCCAATTGCTGTTGTGAAAGGAAATATCGTCCAATAAGGCAAAATCAATAGCTTTTTTCGGTACGGACTGGCTACGTCGCTCGAGCTCAGAAACGTCAAAGGAGATGGACGTTCCGGCTCCGCCAGTCGATACGGTGACTGGCATGGCAGCTGCGTTGTATTGCGGAGTGCATACAGCAGATCGTACCGTGAGATTTTCCCATGAGGCTAGTTCACCTTCGGTATAGTCGATCCATGGCGGCGATACAAGAAGCAGATCACGCCCCACACATTGCTCAGACAAGCTATGTATGAAAGTGCGAGACCATTGTTCGAGGACCATGTTCCCACTAGCGAGAATTTCCGGCGTCTGGCCGTACTCATCAACAAGAGTTTGCCACGACACGTAGTCAGAGGACATATTTTTCCAGAGTAGGCCACCATCCGTTGAAAAGGTATCGCTCTGAAAGAACTCACCCGTCATCACCAATAGCCCATCCCAGACATCGATGGGTCCTTGAATCCGAACCTCACAACCGTCCTGCGATCGAATCTGCAATCCTTTGGACTTGACGGTACAAACATCGTTCGGGCACGCATCGTTTGACTGTGAGACGTTCGCGGCTGTGTAACTGATATCTAGAATGCTCTTATCAGATAGAACCATTGGTGTACAATGATAGTCTAAATGGAACACCTCAGTCTCTGCTTGCCAGATACCGTTCTCGAGTGATACGCGATCGATGCCGCTGTTAGATGCGCCGAAGGGCACAATGAGATATGAGTCGAACATCCACATCGATGTGGAGACGTTGAAAAGATATCCACTGATAGTGCGGGAGTAAGTATCTCTTCGGGGTACAAGTTGAATAGGTAATAACTCTTTCCCCGTTGTCTGACCAGCTGCGTATCGTTGTAGTTGCACACTCTCCTTTGTCAAAACATCCTTTGCAACTAACAGGGACGACGAGAAGGCTGAGATGCCGAGTATGCTGACGCCAGCTGCAAGCGAAGATAAGGTTAGGGCCCATCCTCTGTATCCGCCACTCCGCTTTCGAGAAAAACCTATGAAGATGCTTTTCCACCACACCCTGGGCGAGTAGAATAGGGTGAACTTTGCTTTGACGGTCTCCGGGCTCGCCATGCGCGCGTACGCTTCTGTTCTTTTTACGTCCTCGGCAATCTGGACAATAGCCTGTGTGAAGAAGACTGCAACGATGGTGGGCGTGTATCTCCACCCAAAGAACAGTCCCGTGGACCCAACTTCATCTCCAAGTCCATGATTCTTATAGGACTGCCAGCAAAGTGTTGCCAAGACGATAGACAGTACGAGTGACACTGCACCTAGGGCGATCAGGTAAGGGCGCCGCAGGGTGTAGGGTAGCCATTCGGTAGATTTCTGTAGATTTTGGTCCTGGTAATCTGCTATTAGATCATCAGCCGATGTCTAGCTTAGTAGATAGAAGTGTTTCGCACAAGGTTCGCGCTTTTGGGTGTTGTCCGGAGTTCTTATGCACTGCTGATCCAGCGAGTCGCATTCATCTACTGCATTCAGTGGAGTGACTGGTAGACCTGCGCAATCATAGCTGGTGTCCAAGAGTGTTTCTTGCTCGTGTATAGCATGAGGAGGGGTGTCGATTCGCGATACGGGCTCATACTGCCCCAGTATTCGTGACTCAGGCCTGGACACGCTGCCAACGGTGCTGCTTTGCACACTTTGCTCATGTCGCGTGTCATCGTCAAAGTATTCGCTATCAGGAAGCGATATCTACGAATAACGTTCATGCGGCTCTGGTGACGAATTAGTATTTGGTCGCGACATGTTGTCCGCACAATTAATCGCAGGACGCGGCTCCCAGGCAACTCTTGAGGTGGTCTGGCTAGATCTTACCGGTGGTAGATGAATGCTGAAATAGACAGAACAGGAGGCTCACCGGTTTCAGGCAAGCAGCTCTAGTGTTGTAAGGCTGGGCACCATACTGGTTGCTGGCCACGCAACGATTACGGTCAGCATGCACAGCCTGGTTACGCCCGACAGTCCCTCATAGAAATATAACGTCCACTAGCTAACATAAGCCCAACTGATGTTATCACAAGGGCCTGGCACTGGGTACAAAAATCCGGTGACAATGCAGCTTTCGTTGATGTATGATGACATCTAGGCCGCAATGTACAAATCCCGAAGTCGGTGTCAACGCTAGTGCCCAAACCGGAAGGCGCTTCGCGTGGGGACAGGTGGTCGACCAACGATTGTGAGATACGACCGTAACACGAAAAGTCCTTGAAAGGGAGCAACGAGATGTTACATAGAAGCAGGTGATAAATGCATCCGACACGTACTTCAACCTCACGAAAAAGAATCACAAAAAAAAGTCAAGTATTTCTTATAGTACTGTGGCCACTATATGTGCTTTGCGAGAGCAAGACCATGGTTGTTGGCGCTCCCACATCGATCACAGTATGCGCAAACTGTGTGGTTGTAGAAGAAGGACCAAACCACGAGAGAAATAAAGTTCCTCTTACAGGAAACTGGACTACTTAGGTTCAGTATTGATACATGAGCATCAATAACTGAATGACCTCTAGTATGACGCCAACCTCATACTTCTGGGCCGCCGATGGGCTGGCTCATCAATCACTGTAGACTGAATCCTCTAAAAGACCAAATTAATCTTGACAAACACCCAAACACCTTACATGGACAATGTTATGCCAGGATGAGTGTACATAGCGAACGTCTCAAGACTGCCATACACAAGACGGCTTTAGGTGAGCTGGAACACCTCGTCCTGCCAGCCATACGTCCTTGCGAGGTGCCGACTGAAGCGCCGAACCCATACGGAAGGTAGTAGTACGCTGTTCATCAGCATCGTTGTCCTGATCATCGTTGTCATGCAGAGCTGCGATATCGTGAGAACCAGCTTTCTTGGTACCACTCAAGTTGATTCTATTGGATTTACCAGTGATCTGCTTCGTAGGGTCATGGAGGTCAGTGGGGATAGTGACGTAAATGAAATCGACTGGAGTATAGCATTCAGAAGCCTTATCAAGCTCGGCCCAAAGTGGTTCACGCTGTAGTGTACGTCCTTGATGATACCGCAGACGATATCGTGGGGTGTAGTACCAGTGCAGTCTCTTAAGCGGCCATCTACGGCATACCAGGATGCACCTGAAGCGGCTTCTACGTTTCTGAGAATTTCGAGATTTTTCGGGCTTCGATGCTTGTTGACTGGACAGCGAAACTTCGCGTCTGGTTTCCCCAGATCAGTGAGGTTGGTGCTCTCGAGAGCTGTGTTAGCAGTCGAGTTACATTGCGAGAGATTGATAGCATAGCTTGTGATCAGCTCTGCCTGTCGGTGCTTGACTTAGTACTGGACTCGTTTTGCCTAGGGTAGGAAGAAGCTGAGTTAGCGAAGACTTTCCGACACTATGGACGATTTCGAAAGAAGTGAGGCCGCGAATGGGAAACTTAAGATGCTTGCTCGTTCGTTGGTCTGTAGTAGATTGTCAGGTGTCTCCACCAATGTGTGTGTCTTTATCGTCTACCTGACAGGTAGTTCCTAGAGATATCTGAATAGAGTGATGACATGCTCCAGTTCTTTATCCCGCTTGCGATCACGCTTACCATTAAACTTGATGCCGGCCACATCGTCCTCGACACTGCGATCGCACTCTTGAGTGAAGCAGGCACAGATGCCTAGCGATGAAGACCGGACTGGCTTTAGCTCTTGCATGATATCCAACTGGAAGAATTTAGGAAGGATCATGTCTCAACAAGCGACTCGAAGAAGTTCATCGGGAGCACTTCTTTAGTGCCCAACTTACCGAATCTAGATTGGTCTTATACAGCAAAGAGAGCCTATTTAGCTCGGAGATGCTCGGCACAGTTTGTTCTTCCGTGTCCCACTCTAATATCTGACCATACTTTTCACTGACGAGGCCCATAGCGTGTTCCGTATGCTTGATGATCGCTGGTCGCAGGTGTATCAAGGGCGCCAACTCGTAGTCGAGAAAAGCTAATTTACTTGTTGAATGTTGAACACGAGCATTCAGAAAAATGAGTAGTAGATTTGGACGTGGTTAGATCTTTGAGATTGAAATGGGGAATAGCGTATTGCGCAAGGCCATGAGAGTACCTCTGATGCAGACAAGCATTGAGAATGGACTGGTCGACATCCGGACGATGGCTAATAGTAAGCGTTGGCTAAGCTGAGTCGTCTTCAGGGCAGCCGAAGTAATGGTGTACGTGCTCGAAGTAGTCAAAGATGCCTGCTCGTGTGAACGTAAGGCCTCCGAATCTTGTTCTTCTAAGCAATGCCTGGTGCAATGACTCGGCTACTTGGGCACGGGTAGTGATTTGAGTGATTCTAGCCATTGCCACTGCTGATCGACCGATTCCATGCATGTGTCGGTTGGCGATAACAACACAATGTTTGGGACAATGAGGGGCAGAAGGTTAGGGGTGTTGAGGAAACATTGCGTAACTGTATGCACCACCAAGGGAGAATGTCTGTAGGCTGCAGTGGTGGGATTTCATGATGGATCGCTGGTGAGAGGAAATTCTCGCAGCCTGCGACAGCAAACAGGCGTCAGGGGAGCGCCCTCATGCCGCTGCAGACAACGTCACGAAGTCCATCACTATACAAAAATGTATGGGCTTGTATCAGCAACGGAGAAAATATTGCTAAGCCAATCGCGCAAAGCAACATATGCTTACCTGATGTCTTCTGTCGAGACAAAAGAATGACAGCCGTTCACTTTCAGTGTTTTGCAATTGATGTCTCAGTGCGTCTAGGAGGTCACACATGGTGGTAGTAGTAGTTGTCGCTTTTTACAGTTGCCATAACCCACACGAAGCAGGCACGCCCAGAGACGCGAAGCTCTCCCTCTTTCTCCTCAAAGCCTTACTGCAACCTTCCCCGCTTATACTCAATTTTTCTTCGCTACGTCGCCAAGTTGCGGTGAAAGCCTGTCAAGAGTCGGTCAGATAACGCGCAGATTGTCGTCGGAAGGCCGCAGACGATCGGAAAGCGACACCAGCGCCTAGAAATCACCGTCTCGCTAACGGCACAACCCGGATTCCGATGCGACACGAATTTACGAAGGCGGACCACCGCGCCACATCATACAACTTACGCCCCGCGGTAGAGGTGAGGAACGTTACACGTTATGGTTGGGGGGATGTTTGTTCCGACAGCAACCCTAACGCAAGGGCGGGGATCAGGCTATACGCCAGGCCGGGGAAAGCGGGTTGCGTGGATAAGGCTTGGGAGAAAGGCGTCGGAGTTTACTAGGTAGAAGGCTACGTCGCCTTACCAAAGATGAAACGACGTTGAGGTTACGTTTAGCTCGCGTCTAACGTGCGACCCCATAGCTTCCCATTCGACGTCTCGATGAGATGATGTGATGACAGGTGAGCTTGGCTCAGGCTATCGCTTAACAAAAGTAACCAGAGGAAGGTTTGCGCCACGAGTAGTCGACCGGTAACAGAATTCGTTCGCTATCTTCAAGGACAACATGGAATTATCGTTCGGATGGCGCGGAGGTGAAGAATTTTGCTGCCTGCGTCGCGCATCGAGATCTGATCGCGACCGGCATAATGCTGTAACAAGTGTGTTTGCGGCGCCGAACGCTTCGATCTGCGCTTGCTCGACGATGGCGAGAACAACTTGGATCAGCCATGCCAGAGCGGCCAAAACGCAGGACGGAAGGAGGTCTGAGATGTCACTCTTCTGCCGTAATTTCAACCGGTAGAAAAGGGGCGGAACGATGACACCAACGTCAGTAATGCCTTGGCCGTGACACAGGTCGGCTCGAGCGCCCTTCCAGCAGTGTTCTCGAAGCCTTATTGCAGGAAGTCTCATTCCAGCCTGGGCAAACGTCGCAGGAATTATTCCCGTGTCGCAACCCAACGCGGGTTGCCTATCCGGGTTTGTCCGCACTGCAAGGTGTATGAGTCGATGACAGGCAGTGTAAAAAGCCGTTGCAAAAGTGATGCGGCGGTACCTGGATGGGCATCAAGGGAGTAGCACGAATGCTGATGATCAAGGTGGAGCCAACTTCTTAGGCAAAGTTCCAGACGCCTCGTCTTCCTTTTTTGAGTGGGCAAATCCCAGCCCGCTGGTATCCGGGGAATGCAGCCCG